CAATCTACAGTTAATTAACAAAACATTTAAAAAATATGTTGGATGTGGTTTTAGAGATAGAAAAGCCAAATACCTGAAAGGCGATACATGTGTCTGCATAGGTTGAAATGATCAGCTGAGTGTTTTCAGGCTTTATTCTCTCTGTAAGACACATTCAACACTTATTAATACATTTACATTTTTCCTTTGCCTTAAAGAAAATTGGATGTCAACAGAATTTCTTTCTTTTCCTCTATTTAAGGTTCAGGTGAGGTTCCTTATGTCTTCAGAGAGTCCAGGAGTTAAGAAAGAGATGTCACAGAATTGTCAATCATTGTTAGATCTACAAACTCCTGGCTCAATAGTTCTTGGATCTTTGGGAAGGATTCCTTTTGGAGCAACAGGGACTATAACAAATCTTCCTGCACCCCTGAGATGCAAAAAACCTTCCTAATTTTTCATTAAACGAATCTGATTGGTTGAAAATACTTGAAATAGGTTGCGATTGTAAGGCTTGACCAGTTGAGAACCACTGCTCAATAACAACACGTTTTTTTGGGTTAAATTAAGTTGGATTCATTAAAATGTATTGCACAGTAAGAATGAAGGAATGCCAACATTATTTGTACTGTTTGATTTTAAAATGTGATTGGAACACAGATTGACCTGTTACAGCTCTGTCAAATTTCTCCATCATATGGGACGTCCCCTCTGACCCCTCCCTATAACCCCCTGCTGGGACAGGCACCACGCCTGTCTGTGGTGAGTGATGCTCCCTCTATGTGGCTGTCCATTATTGATGAGATAAGATGCACATTGAAGCCCCCCTGGGATGATGAGGTCACCACTCTGTGGGTGTATACAGTCACAGCATATACAGTCAGGCCTCTGCATAAAGTGCTCACAGTTCACAACCCCACCCACTGCCGGCCCAAAACGTTCTGCTGCTGCACCCCCTCCTCATGCATTTTTAAATTGGCCCCCTCAAAGACAGTGCACTTGAAATAAGAAAAAATAGAAAGCAGAGATGCAGCTGTGACATTAAGGTCTGTGATGACAACTCAAATATGACATGAGTTTGTCCGACAGTCTGTGGTCCTGATCTGAGCTTTCTGTATCCACATCATCTCAGAGATATTCTAGCTTCAAGATATCCAAGGAAACCCAGAAAAAGTAAGACGGTACATAATAAAAAAATGACTGAAACTACTAGCTTATTCATTTGTAATGGCTCAAGAGAAAGCTCCCCTCGATCAGAGGCAGAGTAGCATCACCAGTGAGTTGTGTTGGTGTCCACCAGATGGATTTATGTGAAGAACACTCTCTCTGCATTTTGCTCTTCTTTGAGCAGCTAGAAAACCAAAACTATTAGCTAAAATAGCATAAAAGCTAAGATGAGAGCCCTAATGCGACTGTGATAGGGTTGTTTAAGTGATTAGCCAAATAAACAATTAAACCACCAACAACAACCAAGGTGTAATTTTACCCTAATCCTGCCGAAATGCTCTACTACCTGGATGTAAACCAGCATCCAGTGGATGGATGGTATCGTGTTACGCTGAGCAGCTGGCTGTATTTTGCTCTTGAAAATGGAGGTAACGTTGTCTATAGGCTGTGACAGGCTAAACTGGATTAACCACTTGATCGGGGAAATGTATAACCAGCAGAGGCATGTGGATGTTAACTGTGAAGAGGTCCGGTTGGCTGGTGGTGCAGGCACTGCCAAAGTGAGCCCAATTGAGCAATGCAAATACTGTGTGCATTCAGAGGTTCTCAATAAATTGTGCTCAATTTAACAAGTCTGATTTTAGATTTTCATTTCTGTGCAGGTCAGGTATCAACATACAGGTAGGTGTTATTTCACTGGGAAAGCTTCCAAACACACTCTCTGCGTAAGATGTGTGGGCTGTTTGTAAAGTTCCTGTTCAAAGCAAACCTCTGCCTTTGTCTTTTTTTAAAAGTGCGTCTGCTCAATGAATATTTGTGCACCTTCACACGTGGAAAAGAAGAACAGAGGAAATACCGTCTGTGTGTGATGAGCAACAGAGCTAACAGAGCTAACAGAGGGAGACAACCCACAATCATCAAACGGGCAGGATGACATGAGACGGGAGGGATGGAGGGGAAAAACACATTCTTGAGAGCAGCCAGCAGAGCCTGCTCTTTCTCTATAATACGATGATGTAAAAAATAAATCCCTCAGCTGAAATATTCCTCATGTGCTCAGAATCCAAACAGTTGGTTTCATGTCCTGACAGGGACAACACTCGGTGACACGTGTGGTTTGTTGTTGTTGTTGTTGTCGTTGTCGCCGTCACAACTCTCTCATGTTTGCTGTCAGGGAGCCATTTTGGATTCTGATGACTGCGAGCCCCCTGCAGGAGTATGAGTCATCAATGTCCACACACACATTTACACACCTCCAGCAGAGAGTTCTCACGCTCAGTAATCCGAGCTATAATTAGCTCCCTGGACACGAAGACGAGAAACAGCAGAGGGAGCGAATCTGGCTTTTTAACCTAAAAATAATCCCGAGGAATTTCTCCTCCGTCAGGTCACTGAAATAATCAAATACAAGTCACACGAGAAAAAAAAAAAAAAAAAAAAAAAATCTCTTATCTGTTCTACACTGAAGCCCCTCGACCCTCCTGTTGCCTTGGTTACGGTCGGGGAGCTGGATGGAGGAGGAGGTGATGATGGTTTCACTGGGAACAGAGCAGGAGAGATCTGACAGCATAATAAATTCACCTCTGCTTATTTCCTCCCACTCTACCACTCCACATCCCCCTCTCTCTCTCTTCTCACTCGCTCCAGTTTTCATTAATGACCCTTTAGTTTATACACCAATACAAGTTGGGAATACCAGGATGCTAGAGGGCTCATGGCGGTGGCTTAAGGAGGCTCAATCAAACAGCAAACAGCTCATACTGAATTATTCAATGTATTGGCAGAACGCAGGTGGAACGTGTGTATGATCAGATTCGAGTTTTATTTTACAAAACAAACGTCTCTGTCCCCGTCTGTCAGGCCGCGCTGCCTCTGGCCTCTCTCCTCTGTTGGCAGGAAGCTGAGTGCAGCAGCTGTTCAGGACAAAATGGGACAGAGAGGAGAGTCTCACCTCTCACAGAGCTCACGCCTCATATCTCAGAAGAGTCCTGGCTAAAACAGGCAGCCGCTCAATTTCACAAAGTTACAGACATACAGCACAAAACAATTAGAAAAACAGATCAGCCAATCCTGAGTCACAGAGCAGAAAGTCATAAGTCAAAGCATCTACAACCTGATGCATCTTCCTCCAACACCTTCAACATACTTTTAAAATGTTTTAAAAAAAATAGAGAGACCAGCTCCCTCAGACACAAGTGCTCCTGCAGCAGATTCTAAGCTGCAGGAGTAGCGTACCTAAAACCACTTTTCCCCGTTTTAAGATGCACTTTAGGGACAGATAGCAAATGTATATCTTGTGAAAGGATCACAGAGCAAAGACTGTGGCTTAGAACATTTTTCACATGAATATAATCAGACAAGTATGAGGGACGCAGATGAAGTCTTGCCTCATAAATAAGGACACACTTGGCAGCGAGAGTTTATTGAGATATTCAGATTCATGGTACATGTCATGGTTGTGTTCAAGCTGCACCAAACAAATAGCCACGGGTAAGTGGACATTAAATGAGCCCTCTGTATGTACACATCTGTTATTATTCTGAAATGTGTTGCACTTTTAGAGGAACTTTGGAGCATTTACAGCAGCTCCCCTGTTTACATCCTCTTTTCTTCTTCTTTTATAACTGAAAGCATGCTCTAAGACCTTAATGTCTGTTTGAATTATGTGCTGCTGACAACAATTCCTTTGACTTTGAACAACTGCACGACGAGACAGTGCTGTGGCAGTTTCTTGTGCAACCACTTTTTATTGTTTATTCTTTGATGATTCAACAGGTTTTAATCTGACAAAGGCCCTGTCAAACAAAACCAAACACACAAAGGATGAATGACTTAAGTCGGCGTATATATGACCTTAAAGTGCAACAAGATCAAAGTAAAGATACCCATACTCATGCTTTTGCATTTTACTAAAATAAGAGGTATTGATGACACAAAAATTGGACAAGGGGGGGGTCAATGCAATTTAAACCCCCTAAGAGAGCCATATCCATAAATAGTTTCATCTGTGTAGACATGATAAACAATTACAGACATATTTGTCTACAAAAACAAGCAGGGGACAAAAGTCAAGAAGGGCACAGCCTGGGTTGTCCTGCAGCTTTACTTTGACTTCCTGCTGCTGAACTCAACATCTGTATAAACCTTGTTTGCCAGCTGTCTTTCTGAGTGCAACCAATGTGATTACATCAGCCTGTGATGCAACCTGAATCTCTCAAATAAGACTATAGATAAGACTAGAAACAATATGTGTGAATAGGTATATTGTAAACAAAGCATAGACTGGAAATATTAATGGATGAAGCCTGAGTGACGTCACCCATCTGTGACTGCAGTTGGAGTCGCAATGCTGTCTCAACCTAACTTTCAGTCAACTGTTTAAGAGACATGTTCATTTCTGCAGTAAAAACTGTCTTTTTCAAGTGTGATGTCCGGTGCTTCTACAGCCAGTCTCAAGTGGACACTCAACAAACCTGCAGGATTTCACATTTCCGCACTGGCTTCATTTTTCATTACCGAGGTTGCCACTTTGAACAAAGACACTTTTCTGCTACATGGTGGACTTTAATGTGCACCTGACCTACGTCTCTGTGTAATAGCACAGGGGAAAGATCAGAGGAATAAGAAGTAAGAGGAGGAATCGCAAAGCTAACGCTGCAGACACAATGTGACACTCGGCTATGCAAATGTTACACTAACTTGTGAGAAATCGACCAATCAGCTCTAACTACACTCTGTATGCCTCCTAAACCGAGCAGGGAGTCATTTTAAAAAGTGGTTAAAGACTTCCTTGTGGGAAGGAAAAGCTCCTTTAAAGATCTGGTGAGAACAGACTCTCAGTGAGGACGGCTTACCTTTAGATCGGGGCCGTTGCAGTTGAGGCTCATCCCGCACTCGTCTGTGATCTCCGTAATCTCGGACAGGTCGTCATCTTCAAACTCATCCAGGCTGATGTCATGGGTCAACCTGGTTAGAGAGGGAGGGGATTAAGGTGGCGAGGGAGAGAGAGAGATGAGGGAGAAAGAAATAATCAATGTTAATCCTCCAGCCCTCAATCCAAAACGAGGTACGTCTCAAAATCTGCCATTAAACGAATTATCTGTCAAACAGGGTGGCACAGCACAGGCAAATCCAAAATCCAAACCCAGTGACACATCAGACATGTGGATGTGGGTCACAAACTCAAAAAGTGTATGTCACAACAACAGTATGTTTTAACAAATTAAAAACATATTCCTATAGCCTTTTCTAATAAGAAAAATCACTTAAAGATACAATATGTAGATGTCGCAGCCAGGGGGCTCTCAATCAATACTACAATAAGAAATGATGACGTTTAGGCTATCGGGGTACCCTGAGAGTGAGTCTCTCTGCTATCCTGCTGGTTGCCATGTCACAGAAACAAAAGCTTCAGTGTTTAGCCAGCCTTGAAAACCTTTCTGCGTTTTTCAAAAGCATCTCCAATATTCATCCTAGATTGACCACGTTTCTGGCCGTGGAGGTACATCAGAGAGTAAGTACAACACAGGCAAGGATCTAGAAGAGGAAGCGATGTCAGTAAGTGCAAACGATCAGCTTTGAGTCTGATTGGACACACAGGTGCTGAGTTCTAGATAGTTCTAATCAGTATAGAAACCATCAGAATCGTCGTGATCAAACAAGACCATCGGCATTACCATCATCATCATCAATAACATGGAAACCATCGTCATCATCATCATCATTAAAGGGTCTGAAACACGTTTGCCTGGCAAACCAAGAGTTGGGGATGCTTTAAAACCGCCTACGTTCTCTGGTCAAGAAAACACAGAACATTGCGGGCCAGAATCTAAACTTAGAATGAGGACATACTGGCTGCTACATTATTGTCAGAGAAGACAGCACTTCAACACAGCATGGTGCTTCATGTCTGATGATATAGTAGAATTGATATTTTGCAAGAAAGAACATAAAGTCTTGTTTGCTCTACAAGCAACCCTTAACATCACTCATGTGTCAGGCAGGGAGAGTAAGTGTCCTGCTGTCTGTGGCAGGATTCAATTATCTTCCAGTAAACAATGCTTCAGTTTCCCCATCTGTAATTATGTCCGCTTCTTTTTATCTATTTACCCTGCAGCCTCCAGGGCATAACAGACACAGTCAAGGAGGCAGGGAAATGTTATTAGAGGGTTGAACGAGAAGATGACAGTGGTCATTATGTGCACAAGAGAAACCTGTGAATTTGGAGGGACGGGATCCTTCTGCTGTTGCTTTCGGCTATAGTGTCAATTTTTAAGCTCCATCCATGATGCAGCTGCTTCATCTTGCCAAAGCACGCGCAGCTGTGACTGTATAGCTGTCACGTGTCGAACGATGGGTATGGGAGTTAAATAGCCCGAATACAAGCAGCTGTTTACTTCTATAATGAGGCCCTGAAGGAGGCAGGAGAGGGCTGAAGGATGAAAGGAGAGAAAAGGAAAGTCAGAGAAAGAAGACGAGAAAAATGGGAATCCAGCGATCTTTTGGGAGTGATTGAGCTCAGAAGGGAATAAATGTACACCTGATAGAAACTATAGGGGGAGAAGAAGCAGACCTGAGATCCCCCAGTGGAATACAATGATCCACCTTCACTGAAAAATAAAATAAACCGCAGCAGCATCACTGAATTTTAATGTTCGTTTAATTTGTCATCCAGGGTTGATTTCCTCCTATTGCAAGTGAGAGCAAAGTTCTGCAGCACCTGTTATGCAAATTCAGACTGCATTTCATCCTGCTAATGGATTTAAATTGTGATGATACAACTCTGTAGACTTTTTGTGGAAGAGTGAGACCAGAAATGTTTAAGATTTTCTCATTTTGAACTAATGCCGACCAAAAACCAACAATGGAAGGAGCCAACTCACAAGAATAGTGTTGCCACAGCACCGAAACTAAAACAGCTTCATTCTTTCCAGCAGACCTCTCTGATGATTACAATAACATTAAATTAATGAGGCACACTTTTGCTTGAGGTGACATGTTCCTCCGTCAACATGACCCCAGCTATAAACAACAGCTTGCGTCAACAACACCTAACCCTTATTGTCACTGATGGATGACATGTCAAGTTATTTGCAGCTGAAAAAAAAAAACCAACAAATTCATTACCATTCCTGATTGTTAGAGTTGACCTCATGCTGATCCCCGTTTTAAAACTCACCATAGAGTTTAAATGCTGGATGCCCAAACTAAGCGTGGGCAAAGTTTTAGATCATGAGGTAAACATGTGTTGGAGTAATCCCAGGAAAAGTCTGCAGAGGGCGCTAAACAGCTTTTTCTGCAAATCATGCGATAGATCCCCGATTTGAAATTGAGAATTTAACAAGACTGCTTCAAACCGCTACCTTAGCCGTTGAAACCGTTCATTGGCTCTTTTCCCAGCACTGGAGAGCAGCACTCCCCTGGCAGCCCTGCAGCGGGCTTCCAGAGAGCTGACCAATCAGAAGAAAGTGGGCATGTGGGGAGGATGTCCTTAAAGAAAAAAACATTTCAGGGAGAGGCTGAAATAAGGATTTTTACTGACGCAGAATTTTTTGAACTGTAAAGCATAAAAAGCTAATCCATAGGTTTCACAAACTCACCAAGAGAGGTGAAAATATAATATGGGATCCTTTTACGCCTGCATGACTTTAACCATTGAGTCATTGTGCAGCCTGAGAATCAGAGCAGCTAGCTTAAAAAGAAGAGATGCTACCTGGAGCTACAGAGTCATGCCGGAGATCGTGTGAAGCACAATGCTAGAGACGTCACAATCATCCAACCGTGGTGTAGTTCGCTTGTAGCATAACGTTAGCGTTTTACTTCTGCGGCTGCATTAACGCTTCAAACATCATAAAATGGTGTTCACCTGTGAAGATTATCCTGCTGAACAAAACGCCTTCGCTTCAGAAACGTGCGTTTACCACAGAGCTTATTTTCTGCAATGATCCAAAATCCAATGCAAAAATCCCATAAGCGAATTCTCGTTAGACCCCATGGCGACGCCACTCCCGGGTTGGCCTACAAAAATAAGTCATATGGTTTGTTCTCTACATGAGGTTTCAATAGTTAGTAGGACACAACGAAGAGGAGGCTTTAAAGAGAGGACAAGAAGAGGTGAGAGGAAATGATGTCGTGACTGTAGATCAAACCATGTGGAAAGTCTAAATGGAGGCAGCGGACAGTGACAGGACGGAGGGAGTCGTGGGGAAAAAAAAAAAAAATGAATGGATGAAGGGAGGTGCAGGAGAAAATTAAGTGCGGAGAGATAAACCACCTAACCGGACAGGGTGACCCCTTTAGCTGCAGGGAATTATGGGTAAGCAGGGACGCAGACACCAGAGAAAACCAACAGAGTGTATAATACAGCAAATTAGGTTGTCACACATCACGGCTCAGACTTTACAGGGTAACACACAGGGCGGACAATGTCAAGCACGCTCGCATCAAACAGGCTGCACTGTCATGTCACAGCCTGCTTGATGCATGTTACACACTCTGAGGTGGAATAGCATAACAAATCCATCAGAAAGCTAAATTCAGAATGGTGAAGAAGTAAACAAATAAATGAATGCATATTAATAATCAAAAACTTGAGGCATATAGGAAATAAGACTCTCTTTTATTTATCCCATGCTGCAGATCTCTGCCTCCTCTGCAAAGTCACCAGCTGCTTAGTGCAGCCACATTATCCCTTACCTGCCTCCCACCACCTACACTGCCAGTTAAATATCTAAAGAGCATTCAACCAGCTGAAGCTCTGCAGGTGGAAAAAGATCAGCTTTGAACATTGTTGGGATTTCTCGTTCGATACGGAATACTTCTCGTAATCTCAGGTAAACACGCTCGGTTTATCATGTACGCCTTGGTTAAACTAGTGCCACCTAGTTTGTTTGTTTGTTTATGTACACTGTGCCGAATCCAAGAATTTAAAAAAGGAAAGTCATATAAACATTTCGGACAACAATCTTGCAAAAACTTTGTACGTGTTTTTGGTGCTCTGTTGTCTCTGAGAGATGCTGGAGCAATCTAGGACGTGCTTTAGTACTAGGGCCCGACCGACATGGGGCCGATACCGATGCTGACATTAGGGAGAGAAAAAATTCAGATACTGATGTATCGACAGGTATCTTTTGTAGATCTATCTTCCATCTGAAGATATATACATCTATAGATATACAAACACATTTATTGGGTCGATCTCTTAAATACAGTTATCAAAAACTTGGGAAAAATAAATATAATGAAGACAAGATTTTTTACTTCATTTTTTAAGTTGAACAACATTTACTGATGAGTATGTGTATTGGCTGAATTGATGTGGGTATGAGGTGAATTTTATTTTTCTGTTTTAGAGATGTATAGAAAATCTCTTGTACTATGTGTAATGCAATAGAGGATTACAGTTGCCCATATATATATATATATATCATATATTTACTTTCTCTTTATAAGGTGATCCACCACATGCTTTTTGCAGATTGAACACTTCTAACTCATCCAGCTAAAGGACACCAAGGGTTTCCTGTTAAAACCTACTGCTGTAAAATCTCTCGTCTGAGGAACTATGTAAATTTAGTATTTAAATTTAAATCAGTCCTTCAGACTTATTGGAGCCTCATTTTACAGTATTCAGTCAAATGTGTGGATGTATGTGGATCTTTAAATGCTATTAGTCAAAGTTTACATTGGTCAGCTTAAGTGACCAGTTTAGTGTAGCAAGGTTGGGACTGATTTGGTCTTAATAGTCATAATTTTCTACAAAACTGGCTCCTGAGTTTTGACTGAGCTGGATATGAGAGATGGCCTTTTGGCTGAGCTCATGAATACAGGGAATTATAATAATCCAGCTGTGAAGAGATGAAAGCAAGGATGACTTTCCAGAGGTCTGCTGCTTGTGATGAAAAAAATAAATCTGACTGAGGAGCACCAGAGCTCTGGAAGAGAATCTCAGTCCAACAATAGAATGGATGTTTAACAGAAATGTCCAGACTTTGAGCCATTACTGAAAAACTGATTTTCCTGAAGTTAGGAAAGTGTGTAGTATGGCCAAGGATTAATCGACAGATTTTGGATCTGTAACCGACTCCAATGCAAGTGATTATAGCTGATCAAACTCAGTACAAAGTAAGGAATGATTCAAACAGTTTTGGAAATAGATGCAGACATCCGTATATCCTATAGTTGTGCTTAAAGATAGACACAGCTTTTTCTTAACAAATTAAATATAGACCTATACAAAAAAATATCAATCTCAATCATCATTTATGAGCCTCCATACATTTGCTGTGGTGACTGTATCTGCAGAGACTCTGTCCTATGCTTGGATTTTGATGCTTTGCTTTGTTTTGGTTGACCTTTCCGGCCAGGGAGCTTTCCTAAGCTCATAATTTAGGAGTGGATACGATTCGACGTTTAGACACGATTCAAACTGGCAAATTGACTGACGTGGATATGTAGTGGTAAAGAAAAGTCAGAGCGGGTAAAGCTTGTTAAAAAACGAGGGTGAAACTTCAGTTGGCTTTACCCACGGATGTAGAGTTTGCCTGCTTTTTGTTGGACAGGCCTGTGCCAAACACTGGCGGTTAGCTTGTGCTGGTGTGCAGTAGCTTGCAGTGTAGTTACAACATGCATGTACAACAGTGAGTAGGTGCTTCTGAGGGCGATCACTCAAGAAGTAGGGGCCCAGTCTGAATGATGTGTCTGGAAGCAACAATGCTACTGACTGTACCTTTAAAGAAATGCTTAAAGCAGTAGACTGGACTATTGGCCTTGGTGGAGGTCTATGTTTTCCAAGTGTCCTTCTGGTGTCTAATGGTAAACCACAAAACGTTAGGTCTATAGAATACAGTAAAGTAGAGAAGGTGATGACATCCAACAATGGCGCATATCAGTTGAATGAAAATACCTGCCCCCAATGCCATTAAGACAGCCCAAATCGCTCAGTCATTCATGCAAACTATCCTTATTTACCCCCTGAATGGTCACCACATGGATCCATTCAGAACCTGGAATGAACCTCAAATAACCTCATCGGTAACCTCTGGGATTTTTTTTTTCCTGTGTGAGACGTATACACATCATCTCACGCACTCACTCACAACGTCCTCAGCGATCGATGCACGCTGACTCAGCAGACTAGCATGAATGTGCAGGTCAGAGATCTCTGTGGCACATCCACTGTGTCATCATGACTGAAAGTGAGACTCTACAAATCAGTCAGCGTAGTAACAACACGCTGACACAAACAACATCCTCACTGTCACACTGCTGCCTCCTCACAGCACCCCAACAACAATTCTAATTTGGCTTTTGACCCGGCCAGAGGGATTTTTGTTTTAAAATCATTGATAAACAGATATCATAAAGTGTATAATGTATTGGATCAGACACTAATGACACATCTGATTATCAATCATCTTAAAACATATATTTTATTCCATATTTGATGTGTTACGTGTTCTTCGTATTTGTCACAAGATGTGTTTTTCTTTCCACGCTTTAAATGTTTTGCCTCTTGTGGGATACATAAAGAAGTTTGAACTGAATTCAATCAAATTCTTCCACCAAAAGGTTCAAGAAAATACTCAGAAGCCGTCTGGATTTCATCACGCAAGTCTTTGGAAAATGATTTGTGAGGTTGTTTTGGTAGCACATATTCTGACACTAATAGAAAATGTGCATTCTAAATGATCCTCAACACTTGATAAAGTTGAAGAAAAATAGATTTGGTTATACATCAAAAACATTGACCACATGTTTGGAGTAACCTGTGGATGACGATGAAGAATTTCATCGTAGATCAGTCCAAGAGGTCATAATCCGTCAGCTGGTTGGAAGCTACAAAAACTCAAGAGGGCAGGAATTCAGACGCTATATTCTACTATGCTAAGCTATTTATAAATTAAACTGTACATAGCTTCAAATTGCTTAAGGGAATGGTAAAATAGTGAAATGTTTGGTGTCACATGGTGGAAATTACTTTTGACTCGTTTTTTAAAAAAAAGTGAAATGAGACATTCAAAGAGCCAGAATTGTCGTTCTTTTCCATCACTGTGACTACAGGGAGCGGTACTGGTGGCTTACCAATGGTGAGCCCAACGGTGCAAAATAGAACACGATTAGAAAAAGTGAATGCATTAATTTCTGACCTGAATTGCATCAGGATTCACTGTTTAACGCTGCTAGCCCTAGTAAAAAGCTAAGTGCTGAAACCACTGCAGACACAGCTTACAGTACAATGGAGTTTTTAAAGCCACTTGGTTCTGGCTCCTACCACCCGAGCAGCTCTTGAAATATAGATTATTTTTTACGAGATTCTTGTCAGATCATTTGAATTGTAATGAGCTTTAAGTCTCGAGTCAGCCTCTCAGGGGTGATCTGAATACTTCATGAGCTTTCCAGTGATTCTGAAGCCATTCTTACCATGCGTGATCTGTTTCCCACGACCTCAGTGTTATTAACAGTAAGTCTGATTTGAAATTGCACTTTGTCAAAGTATCAAGACACACTGCTTCGGGGGTGTAATGGACATATGAGTCACTTCACATGGATAAAAATTAGATTTCTGGATCCACATATACTGGCTAAATAACAGGTGGAGGATTAATTAAAAGGTTTAAAAACATGCCCTCTGAAAGGTGACTTCCCAGACGTCGTGTCCACAGTTTCTGTTGTAACACGACATGAGAGCGCACCAGCACTGCAGGACGGATGTTTCCGTTTTTCTCGTTGAGGATTTGGGCTAAACTCCTGCATTTCTCGTGCAGTGGGGGGTGACAGGGCATCCCGCAGGCCTGTTTGTGCCTCCTTAGCCTGCCTCTCTGCTTGTGTTAATGAAGGACAGCATGACCTCGCGCTCAGGACAGGATGGCCACGGCCAGCTCATTAGTCTTTATCTGAGTCCCCAACTATGATCCTGATACAAAAAAACAGCACTAGATTTAACTCTTTTGGTAGCATGCAAGGTCAAATATACATAAGGGGTCATTTTAGACAAATTTAGAAAGAAATAGATTATTGTGACTTGCACTAGGACCCTCAAAGCTGTTGTATTCCCTGCTTCAGAGTGTCTCTTTTTTTGCATGTCCCAGTGTAAAAAGGTTGCATTGTGATGAAGCCTGATTTTTTTAAGAAAGTAGCTTCTGGTGTCGTATGTGGAGAAAAAAATGTAAAGAAAATGCAAACAAGCAGCAAATGTTGGAGCAAATTCCCCTTAGATGAAAAAACAACAAAAAAAAACCCCGATGAAAACGGTATCTTGATTCCACCCAGACATTTAGACTTTTTCTCTTCTTTTTTTAAACAACTTCTAAAGCATTCAACCAGGACAGTCGTAGGTTTCCCTCATAACTGACGATATCTTACACTTGCCGCTTCATGCTATGCTAAAGGCTCATAGGACTAGCATGTATGATGTGCTGTTATCATTCGATCATCTGCAACTGTGCACTTTTAGCCCGGTACTTAAACGTCACAGCAGTTGCATGCATTCCACGCTCGATGTATATTTTTTTTCCCCCCAACATGTAACCCCAATAATACATATGTTTATGCTCCCAATGAGAGGTTACACGACTACATGCTGTCTGTCATTCATCAGCCTCATCCTCCTGCAAGGACAGGACCAGGTCGAGGATCAGGACTGTCCCATAAGACACCCCCCCCCCCCACCTTCCTTCTACATCATCATCATCATGTGCTGTATGAAAACAAACTCTGAAAAGCACATTTATTCACAGGTTGCTTCTCCAACATCAGCATTTGCCAGGTGCTAATTTTTGTCAACATAAACCAGCAAGCTGCACCAGCACTCTTCCTTAAACACAAACAAACACAGCCATATGCCTCCTCCACTCATCTTCAAGGGCATCTCAGCCCTGAGCTTAAAGATGCAAGGAGACGACTTGAAAGCCAGAAACAGGCATGTTAGCAGTTACACACTCACAAGGTCACACACAGCCATGTTGCTGCAAAAAAAAAAAAAAACACAGAGAGAACGAGATAAGAAAAAGAGAGATTCCCTACCATTTCTCCCACTGGTCCTCCATCCAGCCCTCTTCTCCTTCCCCTCCCGAGTCCATAATGTAAGTGAGGAGGGCATCCACAGCCGAGAGGACAGGAGAGAAGAGAAGGAAGAGGAGGAGGAGGATTGAGGAAGAGAAGGAGCAGAAGGGGTTAGAAAGTGAAAGATGGGTGGGCGGGAGAGAGGGAGGAGCGGGCAGTAAGAGAGCTGGAGGAGAGGAGAGGAGGAGGAGGAGGAGGAGGGGTGCAGCTCGTTCGGGTCGATGGGAAAAGCGTCCGTTTCAGAGTCCTGCTGCTGCCGCTCATCATCCGGAGGAGAGCGAGAGCAAGAAGGGGGGGGAAATTATTTCAAGCAGATGAGCTGAATCTACCACAGAGGAGTAGTGTTATATAATATGCTCCTCTCTCTACCTTCCCCCTCTCTCTTTCTCTTTGATGTCTACTCCGGCTGGTAAGCATCAGATTTACTACACAACCGCAGAAAAGTGCTGGTGTTTGCAGAACATCTAACACCACGGTGCGCCCAAGCAGGAGGAACGTCGGCTCAACAGGACACTCCTCCCTCCATCCCTCCCTCCCTCTCTCTCTCTCTCTCTCTCTCTCTCTCTTCAAAACACCCTCATCCTCAATTATTCATGAAGCCCATTGATCATGAGAAACCAAATGATCCCTCTGTCTTTCTTCTCTGCTCATCCCTTTAAAAAAAACTCCTCTTTGTTACAGATTTGCGCTTATTCTCGTATATTGTTTCTATAAGTGATTTTTTTTTTTTTTTTTTTTTTACCATGCAGTAGAGTCTGCAGTCTAAAACTGTTGCACCTGAAGCATTTCCGCATCTTTCATGGAGCTGATGTTCCTTGCATTTCAAAGGATACACCCTCATGGTTGAATGCACTTATTGTAAATCCTTTTGGATAAAAGCATCAGTTAAAACCTGTGATACATGTACTGTAATGAAAAGCCCCCAGCAGTCAAAGGACGGGAGAGTCATAAGACGACAGCTCGAAAAGATGATCTAAACCACTGATTTTAAGGTTAGAATTTAAAATATCTCTACCCAAGAAATATCATCATTATAATTTAACAATCCGATATATTTGCAGGAATACTCACAAAAAAACAATTCTGTTCTTAATTTTTTTTTTTAACAAATAAATTGGCTAGGGATGTTCCAAGGTGACTTATTTCCTAGAAACAGACATTTGAATTCAGACTCACTAGTCTAAAAGGTAAGAAAACAGTAAAAAAATTCATTTCAAATTGTCAGCAGCTCATCAATGTAATTTGGTTTTCTGAGTGTCACTAATGTTAGGAGTGTTAGCACTGCCAGCCTTCGGTCCTCCTTGCAGGTTAACGTCCACAGTCATGTGCTAAATGTTGTTACCCATTGCTCTGGTCGATATATCAGTTTAACCTAACCTTTTATCTCCATTTTCTGGATCAATGATCCTGCCGATATTGGCCGATATCTGTCTTAGATCTATGTTCATTCTGTAGAGATAGATACAGATAAAAACATTTATTGCGTTGGTCCCGCAATGCAGTTATCAAACACCTGACGGAAAAGATAACGAAGATAAGATGGTCACTCAACTGGAAAGTAGCTGTGTCTGTACGTGCGTCACCGCTTGACACTTTGCAGAGTGATAATCAGAATCAGAAATACTTCATTAATAGCAGGGGGGACATCTGGGTGTAATGCATAAAGCACACTCTGCTGCTGACGGCCAGAAAGAGAACTGTTAGTGTAATACGATGTTACACAAATGAAATGCTGTTTGACTGGTGAATAAATCTCGTAACAGCCGCACATGATTCCAATAAAAGGAGCTGAAAACGGTAGAAAGCCAATATCGGCCAATGCTATCGGTCGGCCGATTAGTCTGTCGTGCACGTGACAGATGTGACAGCAGTTGGACCATAACCATCATCATCTAATATCGTGCAAAAAAAGGCACATTTTTGGCTTCTCCAAATTCAAACTCCAGGCATAAAACATTCCTTCAGGAAGGTCACTATTTTTTTCTTTTTCACACTTTGAGCTACAAACATAAAGCCATATGGCCATACAGCACCACCTGGGCACCTGGCCAGAACCTATGGAGCTCACACACATCAGGGGGCTTCAAACATGTCCTACTACATGTGATGAAATGAATATAAAATAATTAGAAACATTCTTTCATTCTTTCGTTCTTTATCTGGGAAAGAAAGGGTTTGACATATTCATTTTAGTCCTGAGAGGCAGAAACAAGAACGAGAGAGGTATCCCTGGATTGTGTGTGTGTGTGTGTGTGTGTGTGTGTGTGTGTGTGTGTGTGTGTGTGTGTGTGTGTGTGTGTACTTTGTTTGATCCCTGTTCAGCTCATCAGAAGAAGCAAATTTAACCCTGTAACAGCCATGAGGATCCAGAAAACTAGTTGAATTCATCCCTCAAAAACGTCATTCAGCAGTTGGTCCAAAAATAATACTGATTACAAAATATTGATATCACATATGTATTTATGAAAAGTCAGGCTGGAACAACCATATAGACACTTTGTCCTCACATTAAAAGTCAATGCCTTCTTATTCCTTCATTCCTTCATTCAGGGTCCCCATCAGCTATTACAGCAGTAAAAACTTTCCCAGAGGTCCTTACAAAAGGAAACAAGGACAAAAGATGAATTCACAACAGAACACAATACACAGCACCAGAAAAACAAAAATAAAAACACAAGTAAAGCAAAGTGCAAAGACGAAAGGCTGCACATTAAAAGCCTTTTCTCAGGTGGCCTACTTTCCTGCAAGTCTTTCCCCGAGCTCTCTCTCTCTCTCTCTCTCTCTCTCTCTCTCTCTCTCTCTGATTTTCGACTCTATCCACAGTCCTGTCTCACAAATAAAAGCACAAAAAAGCCCAACAATTAATCTTAAAAGAAGCATTTTCTTGAACTGTTTGAATTGTATTCAAGTCCAAATGTGAAAAGGGAGGGGAAGAGGCTTGTGTGCACAGAGGAAAGAGGACAGAAAACACCAGAGGGGGAGAAAGAGTGAGCGAGATAAAGAGAGGGTCACTGTATAAGCAGAGGGGAGGGGCCATTAGATGGAACGTGCCGAGTCAGCAGAACTGATCGACAGCAGTAAATAATCAGCGGGGGGGGGGGGACTGCAACCAGAGCACTAACTGTCCACTGTGTCAGCTTCAGACGGGGCCGAAATTCAAATCAGCTTGATTTCAAATTCTCTTCCTCTTTCTCTTTGACGAAAAAAAAAACAGGCTTATAAGAAAACATCAAAGTCCTTAAAGGGACAGAAGCAGTGATTCAGGGAGACTGACACTTCCAAATCTGCTTAACCTCCCAAGTTTTCCTCTCACATCCTACATCCTGTGAATCCATCTGCCTGAGCACATCTTGTCTGCAGAGTCACGTCAGAGCGCGAGCTGCAGAGAAAAGATGAAAGGGGAAAGAAAGAGGGTATGCTGATGAATTAATGAGAGAGAGAGAGAGAGAGAGAGAGAGAGATCATGGACACTTCTGAGCTTTGATTTAGATTATTCAGTGATCTATAAAATACACTGTAAAAGTCTATTTTTTTTATGTAGTGCTGAATGCAGACTGTAAGTATGCACACAACAAAGTGTGACCTAACAACTGCTTTTCATGTCACAGACTCAGTTTACAACCCTCTTTGTCCAACCATGTCTCCTATATAAATTACATTTTTAAAGCACTTTAGTTGTTTCTCATTCTGCCTTTAAAGTTGTATACTTACTAATAAAACAATATTTTTTTTTGGTAGATAGTGACCCTTCTGAAATCCTACAAAAAAGACCAACTGAATTTTTTTTGTTTCAAATGAAAGGATTTTAAAGCAAAGTATTTGCCGCACATATTGTCGTCACACTGACTGAAAACGTGACCCCCCCTTAGCGAGGTTAATATTATTTACTCATTATGGTGTTTCAAAGCGTGATTGCATTTCCTTCTAACCTCTTTCAGTTCCTTTATTCACAAATCACTTATTTTTGCTGCAGCAAATCAAATGCATACAAACATATTTCTCATTGATAAGGGGGGTATTATGAGAAAGAGGACATTATGTCATTATTGTCTATTATGAAAAATACATCCAAGGGTCCAGGTCAAAGTATAAAGGCATCATAATACCACCGACAAACTAACAGCATCTATCATTGTATTTTCCCCTGAGTTTGGGATGAGTGTTGTACTATATTTAAGCTTAGACAAACAGCTAAGTATCGAAAGCAATCGTTTGAAATGAATTTAATGGCATTGACACCTGACAAATCACAATCAAATACAGGCTCGAGCCATAGCAGTCACTTCAAATGAGATAAATATTGAACTGCATAAAACAAAGGAGGGAAATGTTTTGCAAGAGGATGGATCAATCCCTGGTTTTATGTTACAGTCATCTCTTTTTTTCCCCCCATAATGCACCACAGAGCAGACTACAAACACTATGTTGTTGCTCCACACTGTGCATGCTGCACTGCACACACACACACACACACACACACACACAGACACACACAGAGACACACACACAAACAGAGGGATATACAATGCTAATGTGAAGGGATCTCCTGTGACGCCCTCTCGTGCATCGTATGAGCAATGCAGTGTTGGAGAATTTAAAGGTACAGTGCATCTTAATCTATTGAATTGGTAAACATGATGACGACAGCCTGCATCCTCCTTCCTCTTCATGATTGTGTACACTCTTGTTTGGCTATATGTCCTGACATCTTGTGTTGTTCGGTGTTTGTGATCAGTTTGAATGCTCTCTCTTCACCTCCCGCTTGTTAAATTGATTTCTGATGGAACACATTCATCAGCCATGAGCAGCACATCTCGTCGGAGGTGTGAACGCAAGAAACATCATTTATAGTTTCTTTTTTTTACTGTTTAGCTGTCAGTGTGAATTTCAAGCCAGCTGCTGTTCATTGTCCTTGTGTGTTTATGTTCAATCAATGCTGTGTTACAGGTAACAGGATGCAGTGCTGGAACATGACTGCTTGACTCTCACTGTGCAGAATAACATATATGCTGACATTATACATGAGCACTGTGATTCACATTACAGCCATAAATCTGAGTTGGAGCAATGTGCCAGTCAGTAACATTTAGTGGCATTAATAAAATGCATGTTTTAAAGATTTTAAATGAGATTAAATCATTTGATTTTGTTTAAGAAATGTATCACGACAATGTAACATCTTGGATGCAAATAGTCTCTATTCTGTATGTCAACTCTCTGACAGGTTATTAAAAAAAAAAAATGGAATGGGCAGACAGACTAAAGAAAACCGTTCACTGTATCCAAATTGGAGGCTGAGTTCCTGTATCTCGGACACTGACTATCTCCACACGCAGAGCTTCCACAGACAGCAGCATAGCGACAGTCTGTTCACTGAGAGGAGGAGATGGAGGATTGGACCACAGTGTGTGGATCAGGGAAGGGCGCCGGAGGAAACCATGCCAACATATGGCTGCTCTGGGACTGGGCCAAAAACCAAGATTGTGGATTATCCTGCTTCCTTTCTCCGCTCTACGACCACTCTGAGAGATTAATCAAGGCTGCTATGAGTTTTAATTAGAAGCGAAGATGAGGAGTGTTTAATGATGAATCATATTAAGAGGACCTAGAAGTTAATTATTCTTGTACAAGAACTTTTTTATAACTTCTTTACAACATTAAGTGGGCTGCATGGTGGTGCAGTGGTTAGCCCTGTCCCCCTCACAGCGAGGAGCTTCCTGGTTTGACTCCCCGTCTGACAGGAGCCTCTCTGTGTGGAGTCTGCATGTTCTCCCTGTGCATGCGTGCGATCTCTCCGGGTACTCCAGCTTCCTCCCACAGTCCAAAGACACGCTCCTTAGGTTAACTGGTGACTCTAAAACTGCCCGTAGGTGTGAACTGTGTGGCTGGTTGTCTGTCTCTATATGTCAGCCCTGTGATTGACTGGAGAACAGTCCAGGGTGTACTCCACCTCTCGCACAATCTCGCTGGGATCGGCTCCAGCCCCCCCGTGACACCCATACGGGTAAAAGCGATAGAAAATGGATGGATTGATGGACAACATCAAGTCTGATTCAGTTGCCCTAGCCTGTTTGTAAGGATTCCTTTTTTTATTTTATTTCTGCAATTAAAATGTCCATTTCTTTTGAATCACATACACCTCCGCTCGTTTCCCCCTCTGCGGCTTGATTTTAGTGCCAGGTAACTCCGAGGCCAGTGATTTATTTTGTGTCTGTATTTTATGTGACGGATAAATCAAACTCTGCGGGAGCAACTTTGAAGCCACTGTGATGAAAAGGAAAAAAAAAAATCTGAAGAAAGATGGTTGTGGATGCGGCTGGTTTGCAGCTCAGTTAATGAGACGGTGACACAGTGAGCCTGTGTGTGTGTGTGTGTGTGCGTGTGCGTGTGCGTGTTGCTGTCTCACTGGGGAATATTGAGCACAGTCCTTCATCCGCCCAGTAATGCAAGTGAAAAATCACAGCTTCTCCTCATGCAGGATTGTAAGGCTCTCTGGGACTTAACGTGTGTGTGTGTGTGTGTGTGTGTGTGTGTGTTTGTGTGTGAAAGTGAGTATGGCAGCATATGTGCAGCATGCAGCTAATCCCCTCACACTGCTCACTGCTTTATTATGTTGAGCTGTTCTGCAGGTTGATTAGCTCGGACTTAAAACCTTCACCTGACAGAGTCCGGACTTAACTGTTGCTCTGAAGCACTTTCATTATTTACCACCCTTTCAATTAAGCCTATATATGCAGCTCATTATTAATTGATTCCATGTAATAAAATTCCTATTCACTTGTCCGAGCACAAAGTGACTCGTAATGAACTATTTCAGTCCAAAGTGCACTCTGGTAAGAAAGAAGAGAAAGTGAATCTAAACTGATGTGAAACTGAGAAAACGATTCATCAGTTATAGCCTAATGATTCAGAGCTTTGGGATTAACAAAGCAAAGGAAAAATAAATAAATAAATAAAAGGCACATCTAAACAAAACCTATAGGCCTAAGTATGAGTCCTGCACACACATCTGTGTTTAAAAACAATTACATTCAAATTATGGACATCAAAGGCTGTGAGATTAGAGATGATATAATTAACGTGTGCCACAACTGAATGAGTCACTTACTGCTCGTAGAGTTAACACTAGAAATATATCACGACAGTTAAAGTGTATTTTCTTGACAAGTCTAGAGGATATTGGAGGAAAAAAACAATCCTTAAAGACCGTAAAGCTGGACACAAGGCCAACACAAACTCATTCATCGTCGCAGAAGCTCGTAAAGCAGCCGCACAGTTGTTTATGGGAGATGTTTTGGTTGGAGCAGGTTACCAAAAAAAAAAGAAAAAGTGTGTCACATTAAAAATGTATGATTCTAGTGGATGAAGGGAGAGACACAGCACGGCTCAGTCCCCAACTCCTCCGGGAAGCAGACACGCCCAAAACACAAAACATGCCACTCAACAACACATCGCGACTTTAAACCGCAAAGCTGAGCGGAGCCACACGCAGCTGCAGGCGGCTCCGGGCAGCCAGCATCACCCGCTCTCAGCCCCGCAGAGCTCCCGCTGCCTCTCCGCTCACTCACAGCCTGCGGGGGGTCGGCATGCTCAGGCTCCCTATCTGCTCGGGTTGTTACCTGAAGCTTGCCGGGGACTTCACCCGGATGTTTCGGCCAGGCGGCGGGCTGGTTTTCCTCTTCTCTCGGTCCGCCATGCCGCCCCGTTAGCAGTCCTCCATTGGCTCCGCCGCGCGGCCGCCCAGCAGAGACACCTGAAGAGGTCCGCCGATGCTGCGATAGGGTGCTGCCTTTGAGGACAGTGGGAAACATGGGAACTCAGCTGAGCTGCGCAACAGTGGTTAAACATAGGTCTATTTAATTATTAGGACATTAACCTACAGCAGAGATTTTTAGAAAAATAAAACAACTTCTATTAGGACTAAAGGGGCTTAAAATTGAGCAGCAGGTTAATTAATTCTTAAAGGGCCAGACGCTATTTGTTGACTGTAGTCTACATATTGAATAGGCCTGCTAAAGAATCAGCCAAAATACAGTCAAAATTATTTCATATGGCTTTCTCATCTAAATAATTTCATGGCAACCACAATCTGGAATAGCTCATAATGTCACCTGAGGGCCTCCTTTTTTGAAAGATAAGGCATATAACATGGCATTTTTTTTAAGTGTTAGTAAAAATGATTATTCATTGACCCAATTCAAAAATAATAATTGCCCCTTTTCTTTTTTGACAACCATCAGTCTTCCTTATCACCACTGGACTTTAATGTGTCTCCTTCTTTAAAGGGGTTACTTTATTTGAAATTACACAAACACTTTCAACACAAGAACTGAGTTCGACTCTGAGATGTGTTCACAACTCTAATGGACTTGTTTGTGGCACCTGCACGTGAATTCAACGATTACTAAGGTGATAATAAAAAATGCTATCACAAGACAGTTGTGTAAAAAATGACTTAAGTTGTTAGACGTTTCTTGCTTGGGCCTTCTTCTTACATCATCAGCCCTTTTGTTTAAAGTGAGAAGGCAGACTCAGAGGGCAGAACAAACACTCAGCTGTGGGAGTGTCACCCATCTGGGGGAGGGGTTACTTCCCTTTGTGATGTAATGAAGGGAAGATCTCCAAACAGCCTTCTTAAACACATTTTCTGAAAAGTTGAGCAGGAAAAAGATGGAAAGGACTGACTTTTTCATAATTGGGGGGTTTGTAGACAGACTACGGACACATGGTGAGACACACATATTAGTGTTTGATATATATGGTAAAGTGTATTTCGCACAATATGTCACCTTTAACATTAGCAAGAGCAACGACAATATTGATGATGTTAATTATCGCAGTTGAAGTCCAGCAGCTTTAAGATTCACATGACTATTTATGATTATGATAATAGACATAAGACTGATATTTACTTTTTATTTATTTTTAATTGATGGTATGATCAAATTTTGAACATATCATTTTCAACAAGACATCAACAACATAAAAAGTAAACCATCCTCCAACATGGGGAAACATTCAGTGTGAGTAATTAGAAGCTGGACTTTACAAGGAGACCATGAAGGCAGCAGGCAATCCCACAGAGAGCAGAGCGCGATAATGAAAATAAAGAGATGAGAAATACAGAGAAGGATACAAGTGGCAGAACACTGGTTATCAGAAATCAGTATCATGAGTTTAGTATCTGATCTTATTTATTTAATAAAACTGAATAACTGGTCTGCAGGTGACAGGTGCGGTTTAAAATGCAGGTTAAGTACAAACAGTCATTTTATAATCCCCAGAGAAAACCAGCTATAGTGATACAATAGCTGTCAAATTAAAACAAATATTACAAAAAATAATAGCATTCCCTTTAGAGACAGAATACTTGTGTTTCTGAATGAGAATTTAGAGCAGTTGTAATGACAGTAAGAATCCAGCAGAGGGCGACACTGTACACAGAAAAACAACCTCATGTTTTACTGCCATAGAGGAAGTTTGAGAAGCGATGACATGACAGTGTAGCAGGAAAAGACAAAAACACACAAATCATTCTTCCTTCTGTCTTTATGTTAAGCTCCTAAACTTTACATTAACTATTCTTTCTTATTCTTATCTTCCCTTTTCTGCTTTGTTTTTGTATTGCATCCCAGATGCCTTTGTGCCTTTATCTGTTTTATCCTCATCTTTCCCTTCATAACCCCAGAAATTAATCCAAGAAATGCTTCATTGACATATTTTGTATTTGTTAATCTCACATCGTCTGTTAATTCACACTGCAAGTGAATTTAATACACTGGGTAAACTTAAAAATCAGATTATCAGCTTCAAATTCAGCTTCACTTCTTACGTTTCTATCGCCCCCTTCAGGCCATGCCGGAAAAATGTTTTTGCAGTAAAATCTCTACATTTTCAGAAACCCTCTCTTCTTTAATCTTATCTCAAAATGTACTGTGACTGATCCTAAATGGTAGCCTGTCATAATAATCAATCAATTGTGATATTTTGTACAGGACTTGAAGACAATGGAACATAATAGGTTGAATTTGTTGTGCGATGCTGATGATAAAGTGAGAGAGAGAGAGATGTTGTGTTTTCTTGACATTTCTTATCGCAACACATTTTGTATGATCCTTAAAGATGAACTGTTCCTTTAAAGAGACATGTGTTTATCTTTTGGGAAAAGCAGTTCTGTTCTTCTTGTATGTCCTCCTTTACACACCAATTTCTCCCCCTTCACCCTAAAAAAAGACACAAAGAAAACAACAACAACTAAGTATAACTACTGTACAGGTGTTGAACAAAATGATCATTGCTGCAAAGTTTTTTGCACATGCTGTTTAACTCAACACAACACAACACAACACAACACAACACAACACAACACAGTTGAAGTTAAAGTGCTGAACAGATCAGATAGAAAGAAACAACAACAACAATAAGAAAGAACAAGTATCTATTTTGTACCGTGAAACACAAAAACTTACAGAGCAATGGATCCCTTAGCTTGAAGGGTTATATGTTTTAAGGTGAGTCTTAAAAATTCCAATAGTGGATGAGAGGCAGATGTTGGGAGGAAGAGAGTTTCACAATTTTGGTCAAGCAATTAAAAAAAAAAGCCTGATCCCCATCCCTTGTCCTGGATCTAGACATGGACAGAAGGATTTAGTCAGATGACCTTAGTTTATTTATGTTCTAGGTCTCTTTAGGGATTTTTCTTTCCTAAGCCGTTTTCACATTTGCACTCCTGAAAGTTTCTGGAGAATTTCAGGAGGTCTGCCCCTGAAATCCTCCTGGATCTTGTTGTTCACACTCACACCATGTACAGCAGGAGACTATCCCGGTCGGACGGGAGGAGGGGCTGGGGTAGTCTCCTGAGGAAGGACTTGACGTAAAAAGAATGATGCTGAAGAGTTGGGCAAAGCAACAGAGCCCGCAATACGACTCTGTAATGACAATATGTGCCTTTATATCAATGCTATGTGTATTTCTACAGGAATTAGAATATCAACAAAGGATCAGAGATTTTCTGGACATTCTGGCGATCAGAAAATGTAATGCAGCGGTTTCCTTCTGTGCACAAAGATCGTTCTGGTCGCATGCATACAGTCAACGGTCTTGCACTGATCGCAGGGAATAAACGTCACCACCCCATCCCACTTTATCCTGCTTCATTCTCACGGCTCACTCAGACTTTCTGCTGAAAAAAATACTCGGGGTCTGGCAGGAGAAACTCTACATGAATTCAGAATGAAAAATCGGGCTGTTTGCGTTCACACATGCAGCTCCTCCTAAAAAAAAAAAAATCAGGAGTTTTTCGGGAGTTCTGTGCAAGTTTGAAAGCACTGCTACAGGAAAGAACACACAGACAGATATGACACTGTGGCGCAGACAGGGGTTATCCTAATGAAACCGTTAAAACACTCACAGGTTGTAGAAGTCAGCGTTGTTGAGCTCCTGCCAGTCCCTCCAGGTGAAGTAATGCGGACAGCCTGTCTCTGGACAGGGTGTGTGTATCTGCTGAGTCAGGCCTGGCCACTGCCTGGACAGCACAAACAGCTTGGAAATCACGGCCAAGATCAGATCCCACAACTGCCGAAACTCTGAGGAGGGGAAAACAGCCGTTTGTCCTGCAGCTGAGCGGAGTATTCGCTCTTATTCTGAAAGAGTGATTACAAATCATTACCCTCGTCTTTCTCAGGTCTCCTGCAGCGTATCTCTATGAAGGGATCTTCATCTCTCTTCTTCTGTCTCACCAGACACAGTCTGTTTCCACAGCAGAGGAGACACTGCTCCCTTCCCACCCAATGAGTCTGGTACAAGGAGCACGTCTTGACGATCACTCTGATGGTTACACACAGTAGATAGACAATGTAGGGACGCTTATGAGTGCTAAAAGTTAAGAAATGCACATTGTTTTAACAACTTTTCATTAGAATATGTATACACAGAAATATGCTACCTGTGAAAGAAGCCGTGTGGAATCTCAGGTAGGAAGTACACATGAACACTGAGGTCATCCTGTCTGTTCTCACCCCACTTTTGGCACACTATGAGCTCATCCTGCAGGTAGATGGGGAACAGACAGGCTCCATTTGGATCTCTCTTGGCCTCACTAGCTGACTTCCACTGTTTCTCACTAGGGGTGAACACTGGTGCATGTGGGTTCAGGCCTCCTCCAACAAGTGTGGGGAGGCAGACCTCAAAATGCTGCAGCAGGGTGAGAATAATGCCTTCCTCTCTTTTGGTTCCCACCACCTCTTCAACCAAGTCGTCGTCATCCTTGATCAGTTTCTCTATCGCTCGGCGGACCAAGATGCGCATGGCTGCGTTGTGCAGGGTGCCTCTGCACCTCAGGTCGTCCACCCAGGTGAACTTCTCTTTAACCAGAGCACCTTCCTGCATGAGAAGGTCTCTGGAGACTCCCTCCAGCTGCTGCACCAGGTCGTGTCTCACAATGGTCTGCAAGAAGGAGGAGAAAGAGTAGAAAAGAGTGGAAATTAATTATTTACATATAGGATGAATCTTAAAGAGTTCATCTGCTTTTATGTTAGCTGACAGTGCAGTCCCTTTTCTTGCCAACCTCTTTGACATTAATATCAAAAAGGCTCCCCGTCTTTCCGAAAAAGGAAAACAGTGTTAATTGAAATACACAGCCAAACAGGAAGCTCCAGTATTCTCAACAGTAGTAAATGTGAACTCAGCTATTTGGGCTAAAATATGTATAGCCTATATCACTGAGAGGTGCATTTGAAAAATTAAGGAAGGAGCAGCCTGCGGGGGAAAACGGCTTATGTGGGATCTGTTACAGGAGTTGTATTTTTTCTCTTAGGTAAATTTTAACACTGCTCACCTTGAACATGGAGATGAGGAATGAGGGCTGAATAAACACTCTGTCGCTGAGCACACTGATGTCTTCGTACCAGATGATCACTCCAATCCGATGCAGATATCGCAGGAGGGATTGCAGGATGGTCTTGAGGCTCTCACTGCTCAATTTAACATGGTTTAGAATCAAATCACGCAGTTCTTCAAGTTGTATAATACCTAGTGTGGAAAAATAGAAATCAACGTAAGGTTTTTTTTTTTCTTCTTCTTTAAACTACTGTATATTGTATTTTTCCTCTGAGTCAGTAACTAGCTTACCATGCTGGGGGATTTTCTGCAGAGCAACAAGAGTATGAATGGCCTGCGACACTGTTTCATAACTTTTTGGTAAAATACACCCAGAACAAAGAAACACACTCTCTGACTGAATGCACGTCAAAACATGACTCCTGAGCTTTCCAATATCCTCCATCTTTGTGCAGTCGATGGTTATAAGATCCAGAACCTACAGTGGAGATAAAGCCATGAAAGTCTGTATATGTAAGGAAAGAAAATGTTAGCATTTTAAGAGTAGCACCTTTCTTTAGGGCTTTTCCAGAGTTGTTTTAAAATGTAACTTCTATGATGAAGGGCATACTTTTGAAAAGGGATATTGATCAAATAGGAATGAAGGTAAGTAGTAAGTTTTCTCTGGGTACTCTGGCTTCCTCCAACAGTCCAAAGACATGCTCGATATGTGAAATGGTGGCTCTAAAATTGCCAGTGTGACTGGTTGTCTGTCTCTTTATGTCAGCCCTGTGATTGACTGGATGATCTCGCCCAATGACAGGTGGGTTCCAGCCCTCCCTGACCCTTAACGGGAAAAGCGGTATAGATAATGGATGGATGGATAGATCTGGCTTCTCATTTGGCGACCTGTTCAAGCAAGCATATTAACTAAACTTAAAATATTTTGAATGGTGTGAAAGTTACAAATAAAAAACATTAAGTACCTTCAAATTGTATTCCAAAAGGCAATCCAGCTCATCAAGCTGGTCTGTGAAGAGAGAGGGGTTTGCGTTTTCTTCCAGATTTCTCTTCTGTTGTTTTAAAACTGTCCTCCTGTTTGCCAACCTGCTGTTCACCTTCTCCTCAATGTCTTTCTTCTTCTCCATCACCTCCTCCTGGTCTGTGCACTGGTCACAGTGTGTCCCCACCAGCAGGACCACCGAGTCTGGCACACGCAACTGTATGTTGTTTATCCAAAACCAAAGTTGGTCGTTGAAGGACTGTGGGTCTACAATGCTGTAGCTGATGAAAAACAACAAAAATCAAATAAAAGGCTCATTTCAGAATCTGTGCAGAAGTGAATAAGTAGGCTAAACTATTCACAATAGTGTTTGTTGTTTAGTACTTCCACATAAAAGTACTTACAATCCAAAAAAATAAAAGTAATACAGGACTTAGAGGCTATCTGCTTGTGACATTGTAAGAGGCTACAGCCATGCTGGTGACTATGCAAGACTACTTAGTCAGGGTTTTTCCTCCATCAAATTTTTTTTAACGCCCCTAAGCCTCGTCAAAGTCTGATGGGTGTTTTCATGGAGAACACAGTTATCTAAGTACAGCACCATGCTAGTGTGTTATTTCAAACTGCCTGTACAGCTGTACATTCATATGGTGGCAGCACTAATCAATCTGCAAGATTTATTTTTGTGTGCTATGCTGCAGTACAGACAGACAGTCTTTGATGATTTTGTCCTAAATTCATAAACGTTTAGAGAAACAGAAAGTTCATAATTACACTGTCAGGATCAACAAGTCATGGACCTTGACACATTAAAAATGGTTTTTGAGTCGATGGGATTGGTTTTAATAGTCAATAGCAAAGTCACAATTAGCCACAGCTCAGCTTTAGTCCTAGCTTGCATATTAAAAATGTATTTATTAAAAGTACCCTTTCCTAACCTAACCCTAACAAGTTCATGTCATGGCTCGATTTCAGGTCAAATGTATATATCTAAAGATTGAGTGACCTAATATTGTAGCTTACCTGGCTAAATCAACAGTGAGGATGACAAGGGCTCGTGGCGTGATGAAGACATGGTGAGTCAGGTAGTACTCTTCCTGCCCAGCAAAGTCCCAGAAAAGGAAGCGGATTCCCTCAGCGTAGAGTTGACTGATTTCTATTCCTTCAGTCCGGTCCTCCACTGCTATGGCCACAGGCTTGCCCTCCCTCAGGCTGCGGCAAAGTGTGGACTTCCCTGCCATAGAGCAGCCCAGGAACATGGTCTTGACTGTCCAGGCACTGCGTGTGTTAGGGTTTTCATCCATATGTTGGAAGTAGCTCTGGATGTCCATGACCCCTCCAGCGCAGACTTCCTCTGGTGGGCACCTCAGTGGGTTTCCCATGGCTTTGCACACGGTCAGCTCACAGGTACCATTGTGAAAGAGCTGGGACGGGAGCTCGGTCAGTTCGTTCTTCTTAACAAAAAGCTCCTTCAATTTTGTTAGACCAACGAGCGGTTGGATGTCTTTCAGGCAATTCTTGGAAAGATCCAAGTAAGTGATACAGGTGCCTTGGTTTATGTCTGAAGGAAGCTTGGTAAGGCGATTGGTGCTGAGTTTGAGGAACTTCAACCTCCTGAGATTTGGAAAGATTCCCTCTGGGATGTGTCTGATGTTGTTCTGGTTCAAGTAGAGTTCCTCAAGTTTCTGCAGGTTGATCAGTTCATGAGGAAACTCCATTATCTTGTTCCTTGAAAGATTCAGCTGAACGAGGAAGGGGAATCTGGAGATGCCGGTGACCCGTTTCAGTTTGTTCCTCTGCAAATCCATACTTCTAGTATGTACTGGAACATCCTGAGGAAGGAACTTGCGCTTCTGTCCTGACAGGTCACAAAACTCCCAACTGGTTGTTTGGTCTTAGTAAAAAGAATTACAGTATATTTGAGATATGGGCACAGTTTCAATTAGCAGGTTTACAATAGTTCATTCTTAATGAGTCATTTGACCTGAAGGTTTTAAACAGCCCATATTCTGCCCTTTTTGGGGTTCATATATTTAATCTATGTACCTACTTTTGTACGTTCACAATAGCTAAAGTCCGAAAAAAGTGTCTGTTTTCATGTACTGCTCCTCCTTGCTCCCTCTACGCTCTGAGTCCGTCAGCTACGCTCTGAGTCCGTCAGCTACGCTCTGTTGAGTCCACACTGTTAGACCCCACGTGTGCCAAGTCTGCTCTGATTGGTCTGCCGATCCGCTTTGTCGTTATTGGTCAGTTGCTCAGCACACTTCTCGGAAATTTCAACATGAGCTGCTGGGCTTGCCACAACGAGCCAATGGGCTTAGATCAGTGATCTCACACTGACAATGACGCAGCGCTGACAAATTTTTATCGAGGGGGGCTAGAACCGAGCGTTACATGCAGCTAATGCTACAGCTAACAGGAGGATATAGGAGAAGCCGCGTTTCCGCGGACTTTTAATCTTTGCACATAGATGTGCCTAAACATGCACAGGACACTTGGAAACACACTAAAGGGCATATAAAACCAGAAAAAGCATAATATGGGACCTTTAAAAGCCAAGCTGTCCCAAAACTCAGTTAACCCTTTTTCTTAGAACAAACCACTAAGTAAACTACAGAGATAATCGTCCATCTGGTCCAGGTTTCTGATCACTGTCTGTTATCTGCAGCAGGGCAGACTTAGGGAATAATGGTTTAAACAGCAGTACTGTATAAGGGACATTGAGAATCTGCTAGCATTCAGTATGAAAATAAATGTTAAGTATTTAAAGTTAAGGTAACAGCTAATATTTTGATTCTCTTTTTCATCTAAGAATCATTTTCATTTTTGAATCAAGAATTGGCCAACACCTGGCTGTTGACCTGGATTACATGTAAACTGGTTAGACTGTAGCTCTAGGCTTTGTACATTCCAAGACTACGCCTCCACTGAGTTTGTAACTGACACGCACTTTCTAAAGATGTCTCTAAATCAAGGCCAGCTACAGAGATATGATATTGGGATTGGGAGACTTGCGATTGGGAAGCATAGTCTCATATCTTGACGTGGCAGTATCACTTAAATACATTGGTCTACTTCTGTGGTGGTGAAAATGACAAATCAAATGTTCCTGTAACTCAAAGTCATTGTTGTGGATACCTACAGTACGACTAATTAACAAGCAAAGTGTGGCTTAAATGCAGACAATGCTGTTAGCCATGGGTTATATAACACTGAATGGTGTCACACATCTCTTTTTATGGCTTTGTTATTTATCAAAATGCAGCAGGGTCATGGCTGCCGGAATCCCAAAGAAGTTCATCGTCAAATTCTGAAACTACTCTTTAAGCTTGTGTAGAAATACCTTTAAAGTTGGGAGTTCATTAAGAAATCTTCAGACAATGATCAGAAACCTGGAGGTTGTTATAAGTCATTACTACTTAGGATACTCTTGTTCTTGTAAAACCCTAATAATCCACAATTGGATAAAAGACAGAGCAAGATATACATGACACTTAAAACTGAACTGGAGCAGTCCGGTTGTGTCTGGTGATGCAATCACTTAGGTAAAAATAAGAAAAAAACTGAACTGAGAGGAAAAAGGGATTCAGCATTTAAACATGATTAATCTTTGACGCTGTTGTAGTCAACCTCAACCCTTAAAAGTGAGGAGCACAGATTGCGATTATACAGAATCAAATGTTCTCTCACTAACTTTAACCATCTACATAGTAGTTGTTTTATTTTTGAGTTTAGTCCACCTTCTTCTTGTAAAGCTCCCGGGCTTTGTTTAAATGAAATTGAAATCATGTTTTACAAAACATGAGGCATCACTGGAAGTTCCTTAGTGAGTATAGATTTTTAAAAGCATTAATGTAGAAATACAGTGTCTTTTACTGTCCCTAAAAACAGAGAAGCCAGCACCACCAACTGTAATCGCAAACTTCTATCAATAATCCAAATAAATAGTAGGTTTCTTACCGTTTACTGGGAACATTTTCCAACCTTCAGGTATTTAGTGTGCTGAACAAAAGAGTGTCTGCCTGATTATTGGCTCATAGTGTAAAACACCAGTGGATAGCAGAAGTAAAATGCAGAACTTCCCATAACTTCTCAGAAGTAAAAACCCAAGGGGCAACCTCAGGCAACCTCCGGTGTCGAAAAATGAAGCCAATGCAGAAGTACAAAAAACTGCAGTTCCTCAAGGTTCTGCTTTTTTTATAACTCATCGGACTTTATTCTATAAAGGAAAATGGCTATGCCCATATTAGGGTTGTGGTAGATTTGATTGACAGCTCTGCGCGCTGCATCTGTCTGTCAGGTCAGCAGCAGGTCAGGTCAGTTGTTTTCGTTAAGTGATATAGTAGTGTTATATTTACTGTATACTCATGTGTCTGTATTTATATTTATGGACCTAGCTTGTTTAGCATTAGCTTGTAAACCAGTCGGCTAACTGTACTCAGTGTAGTCCATTATTTACATTATTTACATTATTTACAATGGTTTAGAAATGTTTGTTGTTAAGATGTTGAACATAATGAGTTTGTGTGATGTTAGAAGCTAAAGGTTCACCTCGGTGGTTAACCACAGACTGTAAATATGGTTATCTGACGTTATGATGAATGTTATACTCCACGGAAAAACAAACTTTGTGTAGTAATTATCCGTCAGTAACATAAACTGAACTCAACTGAACCTAATGTGCTGTGTAGGTTATAGAGGATGACATTAAAGTTACATGGTTGATGTAGTGTCTTAAGATTTGTACAAACTGTTAACAAATTTTAAAAAATATCACTTTGTATGAGTTCAGGGAAATTTAATATGGTTATTAATATAGTTCTTAATCGTTACAGATGCTCTTACACAGAATATAGCAGTAGAAATATAAAATATAAATAACATATGGAATGAAAATAAGATATAAAGCAATTAGTACAAGAAATAGTTTGAAGAATACAGCCATGTACCGAGCTCATTTTAATAATAAATGAGCTACTGTATGTTCTGTACTAAAGCACAGAGAGTTGGGACCTGTTAATGATTTAAATAATTCAGGTTGTATTTGTTTCATGTTAAGATGAAGTACTATCCACAATAAACTGCTTAATTTTTCCTCATACAAAATCTGAGACAATTTGATGTGGAATATCATTGTGTGAGTGAGAGAGCTGAAAATAGAATGATTACAATAAGGTTTATCTTCTTAACTTTGAATAGATGTTGATTACCTGAATACTGTACCTTTGTTGTCTGGGTAGTACACTGTTGAATTTATAAATGTACTCTTACACACAGATGAATACAGAAAATGCACAAACAAATTGATTTAATGAATAACTGCTATTTTCTCTCTTTCTTTGCCATCCTGAAGACCCCTCACTAAAAGTCCATGTTCTCCTGGATCCATGTCACATGCTCGAGCTTCTTCAGAATGACTTTTCAACAGTTGAAGTTCTGCTGAGAGAAGATGGCCAGCAGATAAGACGGCAGTACATGAAGGAGCTCCACAGGCTTCAGCAAGAGGAGGAGGGTTTGCACCTTGGAAGACTGTATTCATGCTGTTCAAATAAAAATAGATCTCCTCCAAACAACTTTCTTCCCATTTTAAAACCCTTTGTCCAGTTTAGATGGGAGAAGTTGATATTATGTGATATTGATCTGGGAAGACTACATTTCTAAATCATTTTTAACTGTGTTTTTATTCACAAGTTATTGATCTTATTTACTCTCCATGTATCTTGATTTAAAAATGGGGCTGTGTTTAAGGTCATCATTTTGCAATGACTCTGTTCCATCCCATTTACAGAAATGAACTACATTAGTATTCGGTAAAAAAAGGAGTGCATTTAAATAGAAATATTAATTTAATCTGAAAAACTACATTCAAAAAGCCTGTTTTTACAGCAGAGATTAACATGTTTACAGCTTGGTACAAAACAAACAAATAGGTGTGATTAGTTCATGTCTCGATCGACACACTGTAGTCGTTTGATTTGATGAAGGATAAGAGTTATTCACAATAAGGCGTGTAGCTGACCAGCTTGACAGGCGGGTGCGGTGTAACGGTTTGTCAGGACGCTTAAAACACGCCTCAGCCTCAGCTTTCAGCCTGTGGGTGTCATCACTCAGGCCATCCGGGGGAGACCTCCCTCACAGCGAGCTGTTGAAGAGAAGCAACCGAAGTCCACCCGAGAAGAACCAACAAATGCAGATGTTGTTGAGGCTCAGGTTTCTTCCTCTGTCTCTGCAGCTCTCTGGGCACCTCGATGGACCAGTCACCAATAATCCACACTGTGTCTATAGGAGAAATACAAAGGTGTTCAATTAATGCCTCAGACAAGACAAAATAGACAGTTAACTACATGTGACAGCTCAGGCTGTTTTTTTGTTATTAGCCACATCTGCAGGAATAATATTGAACAAGGTAGCTACAACTCATAATAATAGATGCCAGTCTTAAACACTATTTATTCTAATACTTAAAGTTTTTGGTGTGAAGCTGACACTGTCCACAGACTCCATGACTTCACATTGTTCTACAGAAAACAAATGTCTTATAATAAATACTAAATATTTATTATTATTTATTATTATTATATAATATGTTTACCCACATCGCTGTTGACATCAGTAAATATAAGACACAGACATTCCTCTTTTTCTCAGAACAGTAACATGAACTGTATGCTTTGTAATATTGATTTCTTCTGGATGTCTCAAATATTTATTTACAGTCTATGCATAAAACTTTTCTAATGTATTGCTCTGCTAACACTGACAAAGTCTAGTAACTGCTCTGACAAACCATAGTTGTATATTTTAAAAAGTGTAGTTTTAAGACTTTAATTAAATATTTGCATTGAATATAATTCGTTTTAACTGTGTTGTAGAAAAGTTAAATGTTAACTTATTGTTTATAGCGATAACTCCGGACGAGCAGGAATAGGGGATGATAGCAGCCTAGCTGTTAGCTATGCTGTGAAGTGGACTGCTAACGTCGAGCTGAATGGGCGGAGTTAAGTCCCGCCGGTCCCGCCTTACTTTGGATCAACTTTGGATCAACTGTTGATCCAAAGTTAGGTTGAGACTGCAAATCCAATATGGATGCGGCCCTCGATTGGACTCATTTGCTGCCTATGTAACAGACGGGTCAGGGTTCGTCCAGTAATATTTACAGTCTATGGTAAAAACCCACAGCTTTCTGTTGATACATTTACAGAAAAGATGGTAGTTTCAATTTGTAAGATTTTTATAGAGTAGCGATTTTTAAAGCAAAAAAACACTCCAACAAAACCCCTTAATGTGGCCCTAATACTCCTTAGTATCCTCCCACTTGCTCAAGGTGAATTATTAGTATTTTCTGCTGCTTTCAGACTTCAGCTCACCTCAGGGAACTTGCAGAAACATGTCTGGGTAAAGTCAGAGGTAAAAATATGGCTGTTTACATTCCGGGTTGCGATTTGCCAGGGGGAGGGGGATTTCCCCCCCTCTGGTCTATATAGCCCTGCCTCTGCTGAATTAATTTTATATCCGCTGGGGACAAAATGTACATAATGCACATTTTTAATCATTCAACGTTTCCTGCTGTTACACGATGAACGAGTATGCTGTTTCTATTGTCTGAATCTATGTACCTGTGTTTCTATGGGTTTCTTGTTTTCACCTGGCTGCAAAACAAATTTTCCCTTGGGGGAAATAAAGTTGAATGTTTTATAGATACCAGTAAGTGCCTGTTGTCAACACAAGATGTTGCTACTTACGTATTCCTCCAATTCTGCTCTTGGGAAATGCTTACTTCAATGTCATCTTTAGGGATCATAACAGGTGTACAGACATTGGTGTGAAATGTGTAAAAGCACCGCCACTGGGAAACTGTATTGTTGCATCACACACCATTGCATTAGTACAACAACAAGGGAAAATGACTCAATAGATCTATTTTAATGCTGCACAGCAGTAATCATTGGCATTACACACATACATAAAAAGGAAGTTGTAGTTATTATTTAATGCAAGCACCATCTGAGAACTGAAACTCAATATATGCTTTATGCAAAACGACTTAGCAGACATCATGGCTGCCAACAAATATCTACAGCAACAAAAAATACACAACAAATCACAATTCGTTATTCGATGGGTCACACTATTGTGGAAAAAGGCAAAGTTTAGCAAACAGCTTGTTTAGAACATTGTGTGTGTTTCGTGTTTTAACCAAACATTAATATAACACAAAAGACTGGATAACATCGATTCAGGGAGTTTAGGACTTAATCATGATGGTTTTTTTTTTTTACATTATTGAATCATCCTTTGAGAATTGAAAGCAACACTGCATCCAAACACGTCAAGCTGAGTAGTCAAAGGTGGTAACAATGTGTAATTTCTCCTGTGCTGCAGGAGGAGCTATGCCAGGTTTGTCAAGAAAGGATGGTCATCAAATTGAACTAGGCTTGAACACTTGAAGTTCTGTATAACAATCACTGGAGTAGAGTTTGGAGACATGTCTATCTAAAAGTGTATTTATCAAATACAATTTTAGACTTTTGAATGATTCCTCTTGAAAGCTGAAATGTTAGTGGCAGGAGTGTCCCTTTAAACAGGCAGCTTCTGTTTGTTGGCTGTTTTCAAGTTTCCACAAGAGACATAAAGCAAGCATGACTGCTCTCTTTTCCCATTTGTAGAAATACAAAAAACAGCTATGGCTGGTTCCATTCAGTTGTTATGAAAAAATATGGGGATATATTTTAAAATGACTGACATAATCACATTTAAAAGCAACTTGAGGCCACACAATCAGTTGAAATAAAATTAAATCTGATTTCCACTGAAATCTCATGTAATGGACCAGAATTAATTCCTTGACACACTCATAGTGTAGAGGGGCACATGTGAGTTCAAAGACTTTTCCAGAGTGCTTATAGAGTCCGCACAATGCTGTAATTCAACAAAGGTGACACAAGTCTTCAAACACACTGATGATTCCCAGTTCATAACTAGTTTCCTTTCCATTTGGCATGCTGGGCAGAACAAAATGGTCTTCTTCAGGAGTCTTTGTTTTCCACGAGTTTCCTGTCACACATGAACTTGTGGACATATCCATTAGGATTGACATCAAGTGTTAGGAAGCTCTGTAGCCACGGACTCTTCTGAGCTCCCACCACAAACTCCTCAAGTGTAATCTCACCTACAGCACAAACAGAACAGCTTTGAGGTCATCATTAACATGAAGGGAACCAAACATCTTTAAAGGACTTTGATTGAGTATGCAGTCAACTTACCATCGCTGTTCACATCGACCTCTCGAAAGATGCACTCACACACCTGATCAGAAGTGAGGGTCACTGTTCCTGTTGCATCGAGCACAGAGCCTTTCTTTATTCTGTAAATAATCTGAAAGACAAATCAGCAATTTGATTGTTTCTGATTTTATTCTGGTGTTGACAAATTGTGTGGTTTGTAGTCAAGCTAGTGACATAGCTAGGTCAAGAGATACTAAAGTCAGTCAAATGGCCTGTATGTCCCTATACATTACTGAAGAGTTATCATCTACCCTATGGCTATTAGTTACCACTGCAAACCAAAACGTCACTGCGACCTTGAACTGACCCAGGTTGTGTTGATGCGAGCTCTAGGTATGACAATGTCGATACCACCTACCTACCCTACCACATGGCCACTTCTAGCCCCTACAACTCAATCATGTAGGCTGATGGACAGCAAATAAGAATTTATTTTTTCAAAACATTAAGTTCACAAAGTGACTGACCTTAAGTTATTGAGATGTCAGCATGTTAGCCTTGAGCTTAAACCATCTCTGTACCTATTTAACCAAGCTACAGGCTATTTGTTTGCATTTAAGTTGGGTTGTGACTGAGATTGCTTAAGCTGTTCCATGTTGTCCTGAAAGTCCTATACGTATAAAACCCTACATTAAAAAGTTTTGATTTGAACATTTCTGAAAGATCAAATCTTAAATTAAATCCAATTGCAACTGGACTTGGATGAAGTTCATTAAGACCCACCTTTTTCAGGAACTTCAACCACTTTCAGTTTCCTTAGAACTGACATGGATGATTCATCTTTATATTTAAACTATCAGATCATCTCTTCACCAAATACAAGATATTAGATTTGGCATTTATTAAAAGCATAACTAGGGTGCATTCACACCTAAACCGTTTAGTCGGTTTCAAACAAACTCTTCCAAGTGCACCAGAGTTTAGTTCGCCGTCGGTGAGAAAGCATTCCGAACCAAACGAGTGAAGTGAACCAAAATGCAGTCGTGGGTTGAATTTGGCCGTCTGTAAACGACATCAGTAGGTTTTTCGTGCTTATGTTAGCATTGGTAACAACCTTCAGTCCTCCTTACAGGTTAACGTGCTCCTGCCTGTGCTTACTGTGGTTAATCTACACATCGCTCCTGACGATATGCCAGTTTACCCTGACACAGCCTACATGTAACTTTATCCCCATTTTATAGATGAAAATACTGCAAAACTGTGTCGCGCCACAGGATGCCATTCTTCCACTGTCTTGCTGTCTACTTTCAGGACATAGTGCAGCATTAGACAACAACAACAAAGAACTTGGATTCTATGAAGACAATGTGTGTACTGTCTCTGTTACACGTTATATTTGCGCAAAAAGTTGATGTGCAATATGTGAATTAGTATATTAAAAAGTATCTTAACATTAAAACATCTTTTGTCCCCCATGTTTATAACAAATATGTCGGAAAGTCAGGCACCAGGTCGGGTTGTTCCGACTTGAGCAGGCGTTCATGTACATTTTCCAACTCCGAAACTCGTTTTCAGGTGTGTCCGACACCACATGAAAGCAACTACAGCCCCAACTTGTGATGAATGGCTACGATACACACAACACTTGACAGGCTTTGCTGTGCTTGACAAACTTCAGTCTGAAAGCAAACCGAACCAAATTAAAAATGCAACACTGTCGCAACTTCACCCCTAAAGTCCACCAAACTTTATATGTGAAAGCGACCGAAGGCTGTAACTCAGCCACGAATGCAATGAAGCAAGCGTTAAGTGTAAGCAAAGTTCCTCAGAAAAGCATCATCACTTCTTTTTACCTTAACAATTTTCCGTAGTTCGCTTCTGTCAAGATAACCGTTGTCGTCGCTGTCAAACACCTTGAAGGACCATCGCAGCTTATCTTCAAGTTTTCCTCGGAGGACAAGATTAAGTGCAGCCACATACTCTATAAAGTCCATTGTGTTATCCTGTAAACAGGAAAACATTATTATCCTAACCTAAACATGCTATTATACAGAGGATTATGGTGGTTGTTCATATTGCCCAGACATTTATTTGAGGACTCAAAATTTTACTCACGTTATTCATATCAAATGCTCTGAAGATGTTGTCCATGTAATCAGATTCGGGTGTGCCAGTCTGTACTCCAAACATCTTCTTGAACTCATGCAGGTACAAAGATCCACTGGGGCACTCCTTGATGAATGACTTATAGAGGTCCTGGATGCTTATTAACTCCAGTTCGACATCCTGGTACTGTGCTTGTTGGTTTTGTCCCATGTTTAGTCCAAATCCTACCACTCCAGCAAAACCGAAAAATAATCTTTTGTATGCGAAATTAATAAATACATATACATTACTAATGTAGTATTCCAGATAAATCCTGCAGTGAATCGTCTGGTAGTGTCCTCATGGCTGCTGTCAAAGGTCTCTGCATCAGCTCAAGGGTCGAGAGTTGAGAGGTGTGTAATAATGTGATGCTGGACCACGACCTACCAATAAGCTTATTTTTAGCCAGTGTTGTTGTCAAGCTGTCTTTAAAGCGCTAATCCACACGCCTTATCCTATCTTGAACCTTTAGCAGCCAAGGGTCACTGGTTCCCTTTATGCTCTGGCTTACTGAAAGGGCAACTGCGAAAATGTGACTTCAAGCCCTTGTATATAACCAGATGTACTGTAGTACTTTGTAGTGCATTTCATAATGTCCAAATTATGTCATGCTCTCTTCACTGCTAAATGGTAGCTGAATTCAAATTGAAAGCTCTTACCAGAAAAAAGGAAATGAGTTGAGTTTGATTATTTAACCATCCACTACAATATGCAGATGATGTTACCATCTTCACATCACTCATTTACTATATGATCCCATCTTTACCGATCAACATCCAGTGTACCATGGTATATCTGATAATTTTCCCAATCAAAATTGTCAAAAAACAACTCACATGCTCTTCAGTCCGCCCAAAGGTTTGGTGAATCCACTGTTTCACCATCATAGGAGAGACACTAAGGATGATGGAGTCTCTCAAATAGAGTGGCATTATACTGGATAGTAACCTTATTCATTAATTAAAATGGATATTTACAAGCATAATCAGTGAAGCTTTCTGTTAAATATCTCAATAGTTTGTTGACCCATCTTCTCGTCTCGAACTTCAGCATTTTTGAGACAGTTCTTCGTTATGGCGCCATTAATTCAAAAGAAAGAAACCCTAAAATATAAATGATCTAGCCAGCAAACTCATTGGTATTCCCACCCTCAACTTATTGGATTGTGTCGCTTCATCCTTGATCCACAAAGTAACCATAATTATACATGATCCAGGGCGTGAACTCCACCAGCAGTTTACTCCCCTTCCCTCTGGACACAGGTACAGACTGCACATGTGCAGAAAGGCTCTTTTTAGAAAGAGCTTTCCCTAGCCATATGAGCTTTAAATAATTCAGCTCCTACAATACGATCCATCTAAACATCAATCTCTTAAACTACTTTTTCAGGGCGAGAATAGGCTTATTTAATCTATCGATGCATCCCTGTGTCCTAGAAATTAAACTATAAGTTTCTGCTATTCACTCTTACTGTGTTATTTAACCATCCTGTTATACTCAAATGTACTTATCTGTGATGAATTGGACCCAAACATTTTAAAACTCCTAAAAAATGATAATCAAAATGTTTACCCACATTTCTTTTTCACATACTTTTCATCTTTGTTGACAACCTAAATGTATCTTTGAATAAAGCACAACCCATCACATTCACCACCTTAAACATCCATAATATCTATTATGTCACTATGCAAAACTGTTCAAATCACCACAAAAAGTCACAGATTTACTTACAATTGTCTTTTTGTTTCATTTTAATGGATTTATATTTTAATAGTAGGGTAAAAAAAGGGCATATTGTTCCCCTTTTCCACCTTTTCAAACAGTCCCCTGCGGTCTAAATGAAACATCTGTGCTGTGCTTTGGTCAAAATATAACATGAATCAAGCACCAGAGGAGGTTTGTGACCCTGTATAAACCAGCTCTCAGAGCGCTCAGTTTTGGTGTGTGTCTCTTTAAATACAATGAACCCCACCCTGAGTTTTCCCGGTAGACATCACTCCTTCGCTAGTGAGAATAAAAATGGCAGACCTGTGCAAAAATGTTGCTCTAGTCTTTGGGTGGAGTCCATGGGTGGCAATATCAGGGGAGGGGAGGGGATTTTTTTTTACCAGAATCCCACTATGATGTCACTATGATGTTTTGTAGAGAAATATGCCCCATTTCTTCTCAGGAGTTTAGACCAAAGTTTTAACTTTATTGAGTGACAGAATGTTTCATTTACATAAGGAAAAATATGACAGTAAGTGGTAATGGTAAAGCACTAGAGCTAGTAAAAGGGTAAATTCATGGGGTTCATGAGTGTGTATGACTGAATGTCAGCTAGATTGTGTAAAATATAGAATAAGCACTTTAATGTTAAATTGTTTGCCTTTATTGGATAGGACAGCTGAAAAGAGACAGGAAGGAGGAGTAGGGAATGATATGCAGCAAAGAGCCAAAGTTGGATTTGAACCCACGGCCTCTGCGACGGGGTCTGTATAAGAGACAGGTGACATTGAGTTGTTGAGTTAAATATTGCAGGGTTTGGTTAATCAAAACTGACACATTTAAGAGTATAGAGCTGCACATGATGACGTCTTTTCATGTTTTTGTTAAATTAAATTAATAAATGATAAAATGTTCCTTTAACAACAACAATATTAGCTAAAACAATATGAGTTGTATATGGAATACTTCAGTATACACAGCAAGAAAAACATTTGTGTGCTATTAAGGTTAATATTTGGTGATTAACAATAAAAAAAAAACAATAGAAAGGCAGGCATTACAGTTATTCACTTGTTACATATTGACACTGCATAATAAGAAGGCTGTGGCTTGAAAGCAATACATTCATATATTTAATATATAAGCACAAAATATTGAGTAGTAAGATGTGGTTAAACACATTTTGAGGAGCTTGGATATAAGCCGTAAATGTTTTTTTTTAGGATTGTTCCCGCATGGGAAATATCTTTATACTTCCACAGCCAGTTCTCTATCCAACCTTTATAATGAGGCAGCATGGTCCGATAACTGCCAATTTAAAATATGAAAATGGGTATCCTTAAATGAGCTGAGGCTCTATTTCTAGCTATTGCATCTAGCTTGTTGCTTTGATGCTGTTGATGTCTGGTAATGAAGGATGATAAAAGTCACTTTGGGTGGCGGTTTAGTGCAACAGATTGGAAGGTGCATGGATGCAACGAAGTGGTCAAACAAACCCTGCCCTTTCATCCAGGAGACCAGGGTTTGATTTTTGTGTGAAACTGGTTGAAAATTGTGGTTTTATTTAAAAAGCCCTTATTATGCCCTTTTTGGGGTTCATATATTTAATCTATGTACCTACTAAAGTATGTTCACAATAGCTAAAGTTCGAAAAAAGTGTCTGTTTTCATGTACTGCCGCTCCATGCACCGGCTCACTTCTGACTCTCTCTCTAAGGCTCTGAAGTGCCCAAATTCAGAGTCCCCACATGTGCCAAGTCTGATCTGATTGGTCGGCCTGTCGGCTCTGCCATAATTGGTCAGTCGCTCAGCCACTCCGGCTCCGAGGGCCGGGGAGCAAAAACATTAGCACCTTAGCACTACTGTGCTACCACAGCCTACGGCATATCGTGGGTGTGCCACAGAAGTTAACGGGCATACAACATGAGCTGCTGGGCTTGCCACAACGAGCCAATGGGCTTATATCAGTGATCTCACACTGACAAATTGTTTTCGAGGGGGGCTATAACCGAGCGTTACATGCAGCTAATGCTGCAGCTAACAGGAGTACGTAGGAGAAGCCGTGTTACCGCAGACTTTGAATTTTTGCAAATAGATGTGCCTAAACATGCACAGGACACTTGGAAAACACACTAAAGAGCATATAAAACCAGAAAAAGCATAATATGGGCCCTTTAAGAGAGTGTACTTCTTTTAAGTCATTCCAAGTTTGTAAGTTAGTACCATACCTTGGGTATGTAGAGTTTAACTTAGTTAAATCCAAACCAAACTTAAAGACCTTATAGCTAACCGATTCATTTTTGTGCGTAGGCTAGGCTAATAAAGGAAAACCCATTTTGCAACATTATCGATGTTTAAGTCTTACTTGACTTATTTTATAATAATTTACTTGACCATTGTATTTTTAAATGCAAACCAAAAAATTACATTTTAGTTATTGCTAACTTGAATGCATAATGCTGCACTGGAAGAATTCTACAATTCTACAATTCACTTAGCAGACGCTTCTATCCAAAGCGAGGTACATCAAAAGTACAACACAAGCAAGGATCAAGAAAAAAGGGAACAATATCAGTAAGAGCAAACGATCAGCTTTGAGTCCGATTGGACACACAGGTGCTGACAGGAAGTGACCAGAGGCAAAGCACAACATTGACGGCAGTTCTAAAGAGCTCTAATCAGTATAGAAACCATCTTACAAGTCATCGTTATCAAACAAAAACCATCGTCACAACCATCATCATCTTCATCAATAATATCGAGACCATCAAGAAGAAGAAGAACATATATGCCAAATCCCACGAGTTCAGAGTAAAAATGTATTGGCTATTAAATGTCAAAAGTGTGCACTCTTTCTCCTCTGTTCTATAATCCATCTGGCAGGGTTCATATCCAACTTCAACATGTTTAAGAGCCAGGGGTCCTGCTTCGCGCCCATTATGAACTCGTCCATGCTGATATGACCTGTGAAGCAATAGAAACATAAAGGTAATTTCCTCTTCGCTGAAACGACATAAAACTAATCAGTGTGTCTGTTCAGACTATAAAAGCACATATATGCTTACCATCTCCATCTCGATCAACTGCCTGGAAGATTCGATCCACAACCTCATCAACTGTAAGTCGCTCATCATCTGCCCCTGTCTTTTGGCCTTTCTTTAATCGATAGATACTCTAGATGGAGAAAAGAAGAGAACAGTGGTATTTTGTACATGATAATTTTTGTCCATATAAACCCACTTAAGCATAAAGTAATGCTATCAGTGATGGTGCAGTTACTAATGCTGATCGACTTTAATAAATTACATTGTCAAGATACATATAGGTGTAAGCTTTTACTGACATATTTTCAAATCGATTGAAAATGTAACAAGTGTTGTGCTTTTTTAAATGAAGAAAAAATGAAAATAATAACATTGGAAACAAAAACACAACTTAAAAATAGAATAATTGGTGTTTATGGCTAAAACAAACACACGACCTCGTAGAAAACAGTTCAAGTCTTAGTGAAACCAAAACTCAGCAATGACTCATCTTAAGTTTAGTGCACAACTCCATATGGCGGTACAAGACATCATGTACCAAAACTCACCTTAGCAATCAAGCTAACGTAACTAATGATCCTATTTTAACCCGAACTGCAACTGCCCATGGCCCTTAAGCTCTAACATTAGCAAACAAGCTAACATAACTCATAATCCTATTTTAGTACAAACTACAACTGACAATGGCTCCTTTCTGGCATGAACTATTTCACATTAGGAATCAAGCTATCATCTAATAATACTATTTTACAAAGTAGTTTCAGTAAAAATAGTTGTCATGGTGCTCGAAACTAACCAAACTGCGATCAAGTCACAAGTGGTCATCATCGGTACAAACACTCAACAGATGAAATGCTTGTATGGTCGCAGAGTAGTTTAGGAAAAAGCAACGTGATTGTTTGTTGGAAAAAAAACGTCACTCCACACTCCACTATCCTGTCCAGAGGAAAACGGACTTTTCCACATCTAATATGAATATTTCATTTTTGAATGTTTTTTTCTTGACCCCTCCTGCTAAATACTGGGAACACTGGTTTAAATGGTGAGAGTAAACATTGTTAGATTATAAGTCAAGTCTCAAGGCTGAAAGTTAACCATATTAAGATGGATTTATATTTGGATTCAGTTAGATTCAAAAGAGACATTTCATTGAGGGAAGATGTTTTCGGTGAAGTCACTATGGATGAGTTTTATTTGGCCACTGGCATAGCTTACTGGGACACTTGACAGAGCCGTTGTTAATGCTATTAGCAACACCCATTCTTTCGCTATAATATCAACATGTTTACAAAATGTTTACTCAGTAAATAAAAGTTTCTAAAATTACAAAATTAAGTAGATTTGAAGAATGATTGTGAACAGTAAGAGGGTGAAGGAATATACCTTTTTTGAAGATTAGAAAAGTAGTTGCATCCATAAAGCCAAAAGACATTTTGTTATTTAAATCTAATTAGACTTACATCGATTATTGAACGTAGTTCTTTCCTGTCTATGGAGCCGTTGTTGTCTTTGTCATACACCTTGAATGACCAGCGCAGTTTATGGTCCAGACTTCCCCGGAAAACCAGATTAAGCGCTGCCACAAACTCAAGGAAATCAATGGTATTGTCCTGAAAGGTTGGTCAAATGTGAAGGGGGGGAGGGGAGTAAGAACTGGGTTATTTTTGTCACATTTTAGTACAGTACAGAACACAAAGCTGCAACAGCTTTTACTCTCTCACCCCATTGTTGTCAAAAGCTCGAAACATGTTCTCCGCATAGTCAGACGCTTCCCCTGTAGGATCCACACCGAAAAAGCGCCTAAACTCGTGCAGAAAAAGTCGTCCACTCGGGCACTCATTCACAAATTTTTTATACATGTCCTGAATTGCTATGATATCAATCTCCTCACTGTTCTCTGTTGGCTGTGCTTGTCCCATTGTTGGATTTTCATTTATCAGTCCATATTCCTGCAGCCTTTGGATAAACTCCGCTATGGAGTGGCCTGACTTGAAACGTACATCTCACACTCTGGTCTTTTTTTAATACCCTGTGAAATCCAAAAGCTACAGTTTACGTTTGAGACAGGTGATTAGTGTGGCCTCAGGATTACTCAGGAATTAGGTTGCTGGGGTTTCCTCTCTCTGAGTGCATTGGGACTGAAGCTAAATGTAGGACTAGAGCAAACTCACAGTACAGGTTTTGTTCCGACATGCAAGTTAAAGGTACAGTATCTCAAATCCAAAAGTGTGACATGGGGCCTAATAAATGAAAAAATATAAAATAATGTAAAAATAGCAAGGAAAGCTCAAAACTGCAGTTTTGAATATATGATGTAACTTAACAGTGTCTCTAAAGGTTAGGGCATTAGCTCCCAACCTGGGGTACCGGCAACCTAGAAGGAGGCTCCGAAGATCTCGGGGGGGTGTACAAGGTTATGTGTGCTTTCAGGTTAGCGAAATTAGATTTGCACATTTTATCTAAAACTATTATAAAGCACTACTCTAATTCAAATTGTAATGAAAACACGTAATGTTCATTGCAATGCACTTTTTTAAATCATCTTTTTTTCATACAAGAAAGGGGGCTCCAATGAGCAATGTTTTGAACCACTGTGTTAGGGGACAAAAATCACAACATAGTGAAATAAAAAATGGATTGGGAAGGAAAAAAAAGGGCTGAAAGAAGCTAAAGCTTTGTTGTTGTTTTGTCTGGAGGTTGTTTCTAACAATTCTAAATGGGTATATCACCAGTAAATAGCAATGCTGTGCAATGTTTTAAGAAATGCTAGAGATTTTCAAACATTGCGTTTACATGGACTTGAGTACCGCAGTTATACTGTTACCCGGTTTTGATCATATGGTGTTCACATGGACACAGAGAAACCTGGTTATTAATACCCCTGTATACTGTACAACTATTATAATTGATGACATCCCTGCGAGTGAGTTATGTTTGGTTTGACAGCTCTCAGTTGTGGCTTCAAGTCAGTGAAATGTATCTGCCAAATGGCTGATATCCAAACCAATTGCCGTCCCTAATTAGTCATAGTGTTGTTTTTGTGTCCTGAAAAAGAAGCTAAGGGACTAAGACGCTTTCGGTCAGACTAATTTGGGACTGGCATATCAATCTCTTTTAATTAGATTGCAATAGCTCTGAGTACAAATAGGCCACGTAGACAAGTCCTATAGAAGCCATGGACTCAGTCGCTCCCTCATTGTATTCAAATCAACTATGAGTGTGGAATACATTTTTGGGGATCATTGATGGTAACTTGTTGGCTGCTGTTTAACTCAACTCAATTATCTTGCATCCAATCCAATTGAGAAATGAATGACATTAAGTGTCTTACCACACTCTTAGATGAGTACTTACATTTTAAAAGAGGGTTACAGTCTGCACTTTAGATGATTTCAATACAGTTGAGTTGAACTCTAAATAAAAGCTGCTCCGTCTACAACCATACAATTATGTTGGGTAAAAAGGTTCTCTTATGAATGTTTAATTTATTTCTGTCTTTCTCTGTGTAGTTGCACAAATGATACAAAACAAGCCCTAAAATACCTGAGTTATTGTAATGTGACCCTGCTGAAGTATTTATGCCAACAGTATGTGTTTAATTGCTTATTTCTCACCTTGCCATGAATAATGTGCTTTTACAAAAAAAGCAGTAGTCAGTTAATTATGGTAAGTGTAAAGTTTGAGATCAGGCTGGCGACTCATTGCTTAGTGAGCAGTGCTTTCAGAAAGTGATCCACATTGAAATCCCTCGAGAGTAAATTAGAGCTTACACAACACGAGGCCCATTAGAAGATGATCTCTGGCCTCATGTATCAGACACAAATCTGATAAATTAGTTATGGATATCTTCGTAATGATTAATATTAGACAGCAGACAAAGGTTCATTGCGAGAGGTTGCGAACTACCTACTGTATGTGGTCACTTCACTGGTGCATTAGTTTCTTAGGTGATCTAAACTATTGCTTTTGTTGATCTGATTACATGGCTGCGTATGGCTTGATCCTTAAATCTTTCTGCACAGAGAATGATACACTTACGACTGCTTCTCAGAGAAGCCTACAGTAGAAATGGGTTTCCACCTATATGTCGGATGCACTCCTTGTGCATACAAGGGTGAATAATGATGAATACAAAAAATGGAGACTATTCCATCCTTAAAAGATGCATGCACATACAGACACACATTTAAAGTATATTCTGCATAACCAAAGTTGTATTTAGAAATACAGTTAACATATTTGTAGGCCTAATTCAGAGAGTCTGTCTTCTGCAACATATCCCAAATCTGAAAGGGCCTAATCCCAAAGTTGCTGCCACAATAAACCAAATGTAAGACTTTCTGTGTTTGAATCATATGATCTCTAGAAAAACAAACTTTGACCTCGATGAGACAAGCAGTTTAAATGAAAAGGATTACATACAGATTGAATTGACAAATTGGCTCCTGATAATTCCCACAGTAAAGCCTTTACTTATACTACATCAAATCTACACAGTAGCATTCGTTGTACGTTAGTTTAGCCCTTTAACTATTTAGAAGCTTACATTTAGCCCGATGTGCACTTTCTCAGGATTGTAAAGACATGGCGAAATGACACAGACCTCAAGACCTTGGACTGCTGGGTAGCATCATATTTCCAGCATTTACACCATTTACCACATCGCTGCTATATGCACAATTATGCATAAAGAAAATGCTAGAACCCTATTCATGAGCTCTAAATCCAACATTTTACACTCTATTTCAGTCGCTGTAGTTTCCTGTACACATACAAGCAGAGAATGTGGCAGAACCGGTAACAGGCATTGAAATTACACTGCTAACTAACGTTTTTAAGTTGAGTGTTGCAGAGTTACGCAGAAACAACACCGCACAAGTATGTGCTCAGGACGGAGAACGGCACTACAGCTTAGCTAGAAGTAAACCAGGCTTTAGTGGTCATAGAAATGTATGAGACCTGCATATGTGATCATTTTGTGACTGACTTTTATGATTATTTCCTTCACCTTTACTTGTTACAAGTGTATTGCTGCTAGTTCCTCACCCTTCTCACATGACACACACATTTTTATTGTACAATTTTTTGAAAAAAATAAAATGCACACTGAAGGCCTCAGAGAGACAAACTACTGTGAGAGCTGAGGAAGGTTTATAGGCCGACCTATAAGGTGGATCTTAAATTATCAGCTCAATCGTTGGCCAAGTTTAGAACCAAGAGGAGGTTTAGTCAGAGTGACCCTAAGAGGATTTAAAGAAAGGCATCACTGGCTCTTCTATTCACATCTTCAAGTTGCCAAGAAAAAGAAAACAAACAAAGAGAAAGAAAAGAAGAATCCTTATTTGCTATCATGCTATATGCATGTTATCACTTCATAGATTTTCACTGATTTATTAGAAAGCTTTATTAAATGTGTAATTTCAAGTTTTTAAGCATGAACCAAAGTAACATGCCACAGCAGTTAAAGCCGTTAGTATAAATACATGTTCCTCTGGGAAGTTAAAATACGATTCTGAGTGTACAGATCTCAAATATATTAAAAACAAACTACAAGTTTTAAATTCAAGCTAACAGAAAAGTCTGTGCTTGTTTACGCTCATGTTTGGGTTTGTGATTTGTTGGTGTAGTTCCTCAATTATAACTAACCTACAGGGGCTAAACAAGCCTAATAGGATTAGGATCTCGACGGAGGGAATCCCTCCTCAGGGGCCTGACCTCCACGTCTCTGGCTGCACTCAAATGCACTCTCGTATTTGTCTCTTGTTATAATTAGGCCTAAACATCGCCTGACTTTACTTTCATGTAGTGACCATTTGTATATGATTCTGCTGCATGCATTCAACACCAGAACAGCAGCATATGTGTCCATTTAAAGCAGAATAACTTTTAGTCCCCCCTTGCTTTGCAGTGATATTATAAGCAGTGAGTGGGAAAAATGGAGAATAAAGAGAAAACACAAAGATAGTAATAACTGGATTAAAAAGACTTGCCATGTAACAATGGGTCAAAGGTCACTCAGTTTTGTAATGTTCAATATTCTAGTAACAACATGTTTTGACCTTTTTATTGTATTAACCTGTACAACATGTTTTGGTGACCTTGTATGAGTATTTAAATTAGTAAATAATGCTATACATATCATAGTTTGTCAAAACTGCATGTTTATTTTCCGTCCACTAGATGGCGATGTTGGTTCATGTGACTTTAAGAGTACACAGAGTGGGTGCACAATGACAATGAGAAACCAGGTAATTGTGGAAATATTTCAACAAAGAAACGGTTTCATCAAAACCATCCATTACTTAATGATATAAGAATTCAAAGAGTCCTCCACATTAAATCTTAGAATGAGCAATTCATTGTGGTCAGTTGTTCAAAATACTCATCAGCATAGTACTAGATGCTATTATTAATTCATGTGTGAAAGCCTTCAAAAAGTACAAATAAACTTAATTTCTCAGATTTTAATCATCTCAATTCTTCCAATTGACTTTGTGTTTTGAACATACATGGAAGTTTGAATTGATGCATTAGATTGATGTCACAGTAACCCTTCCTTTTATTATTATTATTGTATGACATCACATAATAAATGCATCATGTCCTGTTAAGTAGTAATAATCAATCAAAATTCTGAATAATGTTTCTCAAGGCTGTGTGGGTTGTGCAATAGCGTCACAGTGTTCTGGTCTTTTCTCATCTTTTTCTCTGAAATCAGTCAGATCTAGTGCAATATGGATAAGGTTAAATGGTAAATGGACTTGACCTTGTTTAACGCTTTTACACCACATGTCACACCTACCCTTTCACACACTGCTGGCAGAGGTTGCTGTGTAAAGTGACCATCAGAAGTGAATAGTCTCATTCATACAGCAAATCAGGGTTAAGGACATATCGAATATGTTGCTGCAGGAGCTGGGGATCGAATCCCCAATTTATCTGTTGAGAGACGACCGACTATACAAACTGACCCACAGCCGCGCCTTGTTT